TTTCGCAGAACATAATTATAAACAAAAATTCTTTAAACATCTTTTGTCTTAAAGATAATTTTTATGAATAATGAGTTTAAAAATTCATTTATAAAAACTTTAGCCTGAATGCTTTCATACTTACTAATCTAATATAATTGTCGAGACTAATCAGGTATTATTGTATTTATTCAATCGAATCTTTCGATTTTACAAGTTTCTTGTTTTTCCCGAGATACGGCGTTAAAATTATTGATTACACACTGGCACACACACACACACACACACACACACACACACACACACAGAGAGAGAGAGAGAGACACACACACACACACACGACTTATATAACGTATATATATATGGGTTGATTGTTGATTTATATTTCTATTTAAAATTTATATATTTTATATATAAATATATGTATCATTATTGTATTTAATGAATATTTTAATAATTATATAAGGAATTAATTTTAAACATTTAATTTAATGTTGAATTAACATACGATACTAAATAATTTGTTTAAAAACAATTAAAAATTTTTTCAGAAATAAAATTGAAATACACTTAATTTAGAGCAAATAAATTAAGAATAATATTTTGTAAAAATATTAATTACTTTTTTGTAATTTATTCATAGTTTACTATTGATAAGCGATTTTTAATTGTTAAAAACATTTTAATATTTATTGATTGTTGTTATATAAATAAATATATGGATAATATCGAAGTTACTCTAATATAATTACCAGCAATTATCACAGATAAATTGTCGTTCATTATCTTGTATCTTGTGCGGTTAGATTATTAGTGGGAAGACTTAGGTAAGATTTATTAATATTTTTTGCATGATTATAAGTGCAGATTTAAATTGTTGAATCAATTTCAATATTTTATTGTACATGATCTGTAGAAAAGTTTTATTATGGAAAAACAATTTTATATGAACATATATATCCTTCGATATTCTTTCATTTTAGTCGTCTTTTAGCAAAAAAAAAAAAAATATATATAAAAAAAAAATAAATAAATAAATAAAGAAGACTTTATTATTAAGAGCATTAATATTGAATTTAAACACCTTTTGAAATTGTCTTAAAAATATTAAGAAAGAGGAAAAAAATTTCTTTATTTAATATTTCAGAGATTTAAAATCAGAACAAGTGTGTGTTTTGACCTTCTATTTTGATTTTTTTTTTTATATAACAAGTTAAACTTAGATTAACACAGATATTCAATTTTAATCTTGATTTAAGTAATTTTATTTGTTTGATAAGTACAATGACAAATTTGAGGAAAATTTATAATTTTTAATCAAGAATGAATCCATTGTTGTTCAGAAATGTTAAAGGTGTTGAAGGCATCGGGTAAAATGTGGTTAATATTAAATCTACATAAGTGTAAATAAAATAATGCTACAAATACATATTTGCTTAAGTATAGATAAATGACGTGAATTTGAATAGTTCATCGTTTCGTAAATTGTTAAATCAATGAAAAAAAAAAAAAAAAACATAACAATAATAATAATAATAAATGACCTACATTAGAAGGTTTACAGTTGAATGGGAGGTATTTGATTGTGCGCCACTTTATTTTTTAATATTTCACTTAACAAAAAAAAGCATTATCGTGTTCGATGTAATACATACTCTTACACGTGACAATAAGTGACACACAAATTAGAACTTTCAAAGTTACATTCTAGATATAAATTATGTAAATTGATATTATATTGATATACACGCAACGTTCGTAAGGACGAAATACATAGCTTTACAAATAATTGTGAAAAAATTGAAAAAGAAATGTGAACCAAAGAATAAAATTTTATCAAGATTAATAGTTAGATTTATTTAAATGCAATAGAATATATTCCTATTTTGCTTTTTGTGGCTTATTCAAGTTCTATTATTTCAATTTTATAATCACCACTTCAATATTTGAAGTTCCGTGCTCGTAAAGCTTAATTGCATATTCAATACAGAGAAGATTTTACAATTGTTATTTAGTAATAACATTTTACCCACACTATTAACGGTATATTGTGCACAAATTTAGAAATTAAAATATAACTTTGTTAATTACATCGTGTCAAGATAGTTATAATTCCATTGTAATTATATTCTTTAATTTATCAATACGTGTAATGACTTTGACACGCAGTAGATATTAAAAATATAAAAACCATTAATATCTTTGGTATATTCGATATCGTTGCGAGTTTTTATATCCATGTGTTGTTCTATTATCGATGAACTTTTTTTGCGTAACTATATATTGATGCGTAATTATATTATTGATACAATAATTGATGATATTATTTGCGAGTGCAATCGTCAATATTCTAATTGAGCTAACAAAGAGGAGAACGGCAATCTCAATGGTCAATGCTCACTCAAAGGTTTTGTCAATTGTGCCGGATTAGCTCGGCAGTCGAGAAAATTGTTTTTTTTTTTTTTAAAGCAATAACAGTTCCTTATCCATACCATGATTTTACCGCTAATATATTTACTGTGTCTTCGTGTCGGTAATCGAGCATTTGTTATAAATGTTAAAACATGGTGATATCAAATGGTACCTTTGCAGCTCTCGTGCATTTATCTACGATATTATTATTTACAATTATGCAAATAAAACGCTTATTAGATGATATTGCTGGTATGCTATTACTGTTGCGAATGATAACAATTATGTATTTAAATTTATAACTAAGAAAAAATCGTTGCTTATCGTTATATCTTTTTTCTACTTAGCGATCAAAGTAAAATAGTAATAAGTGGAGCTTCCTGGATACGTGCCATTACCGAATGAAAATGATCAATTGCAATTATCCAGCGGCACATTAAGTTTATATAGATAATTTAGTGGTAAAATACGAATTTAACCATTTATTTGCTTCGTTTATTATTAGTTACTGAGGCACAGATAACGATAGAATGAAAGTTTTTAACAACATCATCGACGGTATTACGGCGTATTGTCATTATTTTACATTACAATATTTCTCTCTAATATAATTGATTATTATTATAGTATTTTAAAGATACAATTCACGCGTTTTTATAATTATGCTAACAGGATATAATTATGCTACTTGGCGCACTTGGCGCGATTTATTAAAAATTAATTTAACTTGCAACCTTTAACTTAATTTAAACAATTTAGACCTCTTTCATCTCGGATTTTCATTCAGCAAATTATAATCATAGCAAGCAAGGTCACGAATAGCCTTGCTCGATCGTTGAAATCTTCTTGGTAAAAATATACGAAGCCGTCCTAGGCAATGACTAGATTACTTTTATAATGCGTGTTAAAGCGTTAATGTTTTATCATTGAAGAAAAGTGCGTGCGAAATTGACGATAAATTTCATTTCATGGTTACCCGTTACACTGACGATGCCTTTGTCAAATTAGAAAGTTAATTAGCATTGATATGAGAAAAGGGCAGAAAAGCAATGGCTCTTTAACGAGCGTCAATCTTCTTTAATTAGATCGGACCAAAGTAACGTGCCGTTACAGCCGAACCGATATTTATATGAATTAATAATTTTAACGGCTTAATTGGGAGAAACGTTGGAAATACATTGGCTAAGGATCGTTAAACGTTATTCAAAGGGTAAGGAATACACACAAACAAGAAAGATTTATAGACCGCCGATCCCTTGCATTATCTACTCATTATTTCTAAAATAGGCTGCGTTTTTTTTTTTTTAATCTATTTCTTCAACTCCACTTATTCAATTATAAATGCTTACGTAACGTACCATTCATATTACGCTTAGTTGATTTAAATAATTGCTTACAATATGCAATTATTTAAATATATATATATATCGAATATAATATATATATATATATATATATATATATAATGAAATTGAGCCCTCGAAAATACTATCGAGTGTCTGTAATTGACAAATACAAAATCCCATAAGCGCGTTAAAAACTTGAGATTTGGTATTAAGTATTTTTATCGAACAAACTGTTGATGAGATTTTCCATCGCGCGTTAAAGACTTGTCACGATGTAAATGCAATTTTCGCGGGTGATCTTTGGGGGAGAAATTTATCGTTAAAGCTAGTGGAGCGCATCCGTGCGCCGTTGAGCCCAATTTGATGAACGAGACAGCGAAAATGGAAAAAAAAAGTGAAAATTGCTCGTTACGGGGGAGCCTAGAAGAGCGGGAAACGCAGCTTCTCGTCACGCAGATCGGCGCAATCGGCGCAATCGCACGAGGAAATTCCAATCATCTCCTTCATACTCCTCTTAGACCAATTGCAAAGGTTTCTCACGACGTCAGATCGTACGTGTTGTCTACACGTAGACACGAGATGTCGAGACGTACGGCGTTCTTTGTTCGCGTTCGGGCCGCGATTCAGTAGCGACACGTCGAGGCGACGAGCCGATAAAGCTTCGGTCGAGATAACGACTCGGCGGCGCCTTTATTTTTACCGTATTGAATCATCATCGGGCGGTGGCGAAATAAAGCGTGAGCAAGCCCCCATTGCCATTTATCAGCGACGTCACAGCCGCGCGAGATGGAACAACAAAGTCTTGGAGCCTTCGAGCGAGTTTGACCGTCGTCGCAGATGGCACTGGGATCGAGATTATTCGCGCTCGCGCTCCTGCTCCGTTGCCACGACGAGATTGACGGGTCGCTCGTGCGACGGCGATGTGGGGGTCGTGAAGGCGGTGGTGGGGATGACGAGAGGGCCGGACGAGGCGAACCGAGGAGGAGGGTATACGTGTATTCTGCTGGGTTTGGCAGGTAGGATACGGCGAATATGCGTAGTGGTGGCGCGCGCAACGGCAGCCCCCCAGACGATTCGTTTAGTTTTGCGTAGCGCGAAGCTCGAGCGAGGGTCGCCGTCGTTTGCCGCAGCCTCCCGGGCGAAAAGTTAGGCGTCTACCGTCATTTGTTCGCGACCGTCCACTGCCGACAGAGCTCGGCTCGAGGGTGTCGTCGAGTGAAGAGCCACGAGGAGTTGGAGGTGCGAGATTTATTGGAGTTGACGAAAATGGGTGAGTCGAGGATTATCGCCTGGATCCTTCCGTGATTATTTCGGGGTCACTCGAAGGGCCTCGACATTATCGTCCTTGGCCTGAGGTAGAGAGGAGGCTCTCCGAGGGAATGTTCGTTACTTCTTGGCGATCTTGGCAAACGTTATGATTAAGCGCGTTACCTCTAGCCGGGTAATCGTCCTCCTTGACTGGCGGTCCCGCGCGGTTTGGGGGAGGATGACCGGAGGAGGGTGGTTTTTGCGATGATTCGATTAACGAAAGATTTCTTTGTGTTTCATGCTGCAGCGGAGCAAATCGTTATGACCCTGACGAGCAAGACCGCGAATTCGACGGCCTTTGTTATAGAGAGGAGACGGCAGGTGGTGGAGGAGATTGCCAATGGGAGCGAGAAGGATGTTCATGTGGCCGGTGGCGACCATAAGGGCATCGTTATTAATAAACTGCTCAATGGTAATTATTTTGCCGATGTGATTTTATGGCGATGATGAATATTTGGTATTGTGTTGTTGCACATGGTTTATGATAATCTCGTCCCGTCCGTTATTTTAGACAATGGTGATGGTAATGGCGAGCCTGCGCATTTATCTCTGCAATTCAAAGTGTTTTTAGTCAACGCACAGAGTGGCAAACACGTGCAGGAGCAGAGAATGTTGAATTTTTGGTTTACGGACAGTCTGGCTGTCGAGTCTCAGCCAAGCGTGGCGCAAGAATTCTTTAGGGAGCTCGTCAGTCCGCAGGAATTTCCCAGAGGCAAGTATGGCGAAGGTGTATCTCCTTGACCATCTCGCTCAACCAATTATCCCACTTGTTTATAGATTACATTGGTTTTATTACGAAAATTTTGAAATTATTGCAACACAAGTATTCTGGCATCGATCACGTCGAGGTTGAATTGAAGCAGATCGAAGAGCCTGTGGAGTTTCCAGTCAGGCCACGTGAGTTTCCATTTAGATTTATTCTTTACTTGACAATATCCTCTTTTTAATATTTGTCATTGAATTGTGAACTATAAGCTGGATAGAAGAGGAAAAAAATTGTAACAACATTTACTTAAATTAGATAAAAATATTTGCTTAAGACTTTTAGAGCTGGAAATTTTTTTAACGATTACCTTTAACAAACTATTGTAAAGTTTGGGTAATTGGTATGCAATTTTTTGCTTATTTTAATGCACCGTTAGATTCAAATTTTCATGATACCATTTTTCTATGACTACTATGACATGGCATTTCATGTATTTTATGCAATAACGCACTGGCTATTAATGGAAATTAAAGTAAATCGACGATTATAAAATTTGTATATCTGGTTTAGCATCGGCGGACGAGGCCACTTTAGAAGACAACAGAGTCCATGAACTAACCGTAGAGAAGATCCTAGAATTAATCGAATCGGCTTATCCAAATCCACTAACCATTCATAATTTAATCAAGTAGGTTGAAAAACAATCTCTTATATGCGTTCAAATAGCATTTTCATTTCCTGTAACAAAGTGAAAATTGTTTAATTAGCGATCATGGCTGGGACCGTGACGCCGTAGCAGAAAAATTATCAGAATTACAAAAGAAAGGCCTTGTTCGAGCAATGGATAACGGTGCCTTTACCAGAGTTGTTCATCAGGACACTAAAATTCAGGCAACTATACTAGAGCTTCGATCTATTCGACCTCTACCATTATAATGTCTTATTTATAATAAAACGATTTATCCACCAGGTTGTCAAACAAATGCCTACGATGGCTAATTCGAAGCAGCCGACTATAGCTATAATTACAGCACAGTACTGCGAAAAATTGGCTGTCGATGCAATGATCGAAAACAAAGAGACTTTTGTTCGATACACCACTGTCGGTGAGTATATTATTAATATTAGTAATTGTCGGATAATAATTAGCATTGATAAATTGATAAATTGATAATTGAAACTATTGATTTGTATTTTTCATATTTTGTACTTAACTTTACATCAATAATAGATATGACGTTACACAATTCAATTACATTATTATAATCGAAAATAATTCCCATAAACCGTCTAGGAAGTGAAAAAGAGGAGAAAAACTCATCGTCTAATTCTAATAATCCAACAGCCAAAGACCCACGTGTGACTCGACAAATACGTTTCGGTAATGTTAGCGTCATAACGATGTTTATCGTGATTTTCGTCGCTCATTGCTTACGTGTGATTCATTGCGTCACTGTTTGTGTTGCCTTTAAATTTTTAAGGTGAAAATGCGCAGATAAATGTGTTTTGAATTTATCAGCATTGCCCCCATAAGAAATTAACACATTTTTTTATGACTGTATGGCGACTTGACAATAGAAAGAAATGAAAACAAAGTTCTTCGCATTAAATCGTCGGATGTTGAGTATTTCGATTAAACGTTCGTTATCGTAAGACGTTTATTCCTTATTTATTTATCTACATTTGAAATATATTTTAAAAATGATTTACCCTCACATTTACATTATATGTAAATTTAGCGAATTTAGCAAATATCGAATGTAAAATTAACATTTACCCCTATTATTGATAAATCGTATTTCAATTTAAAAATAATTTAACAATAATTTCTTATTTATTATTAACATCGTATATACTCGTCAAAAGCTTAGCACTTAAAACTTAAAATATATATTTATAAAGAATGCAATAATAAAATGTGTATTAGGAAGGAATAGCTGCTTTGTCATTGGTGGGTAACCGAAGGTAATTATTGGGAATATTTTCAACCAAGTGATTTTTTTGCTTATGTCTCGGCTTTATTTTAATACGTTGCCTACATTTCCGAGTACTGCGTAAGCCCCATTCCTCCCACCCCCCTCCCTTCTCTCCTTCCATCTTCGCCATTCCACTACCCCTCCCCCACAACCTTTTTACCCCTCCGCCCTCCTCATAGAACCGCCAACGTCCTTTCCCCCACCTTAAACCGTCGATGCAAACTAAACATACTGCACAAACACGTTGCTATCGATACAATAATAGTAATAGCAATAATAATAATAACAATAATAACAACAACAAGTCATCTCGCGCATTGGGAAAATAATATTGAACGTATGTGCAACTATCGGCAGCAGCGCGACTCATTCGTTTCCTGGCGAATGCACAAGAGTCCCGATACCGCCAATAAATACACTAATAACACTTATACGTTTGCTAGTCCGACCAAAGGTTCTGCCAAACCTCCCTCCCATCGGTTCAAACAACCGCCCCATCAAGTATCCTTACAATGTCCAAGTGAACAAAGACCCAAGCCATGCGTCGTCGTGTCCGTCCTGTTTGTCCTGTCTGTCGTGTCTCGTGCTTTTGGGAAGTCGGCGCTAAAATAATCGAGAGGTGATGGTGAACGCACGAATCCGCCCTTCCTGCCATTGTCTGCACGAATATTCCATGACCCATCGCGTAACTCTTATGCGCGACTCCATTCATAGGCGAGTCCAACATCTACACCCTGGGCGACATCGGGGCCCATCGCATCGTCTGCACAAAGCTACCGACCGTCGGTCATACTCGGGAGGCTATGACTGCCGCCGGGAATACGACTACCCGCCTCCTCGGCACCTTCCAGAAGGTCGACTACGTGTTTCTCGTTGGTGTGGGGGGCGGCGTGCCGCATTACACCGACTACAAGAGGCACGTGAGGCTCGGCGACGTCGTCATCTCGTATCCCGCGGGACCCAACAACAAATTCGTCTACACGTATTGCGAGAGCGCGGAGATGCGCGACGATGGCAATTACCACTTCGAGACCAAGGAGTATCGGCCGACGAATTTGGGCCTTCAGGACATAGCCGCGAATTTCAAGAAGCAGGTGCGCTTGATAATCGCTTCTTGATAAATATTTCACTTTTTATACGATCGTTCCCTGTCAAATCCTGTCATTATCGCGTCGAGCCTGGACGGGACGATATATTTGCATTTAGTTTACCCCGAATTAGCCAAAGACCCTCGGCAATTTCCTTGCTCTATGGTACAGAATTTATTAATGCGATTTTTCCCTACGTATTATACAAGTAAATCAATTTTACATTTACACCCTATAATTATCACAATGCCTAATACGCGTCGATTATGATAATTAACTTGTCACGTGTATAAAATTAAAAAATCGTTGACATTGTCATTGGAAAAAAAAAAAAAAAAAGATTGTGTGATAAAAGAAAAAAAGAAAATAGAAAGAATATGTATGCATGACAAAGCATACATGCCAATAAGATTAACTCTTGCAACGTATAATTGACATAATAGATGAAGACAAGTGATGATGAATCACCACCGTGGCATCGTTTTCTGTCCGATGGAATTAAGAATTTAGGTTCCCAATTCGAGCACAATTTTGAGGCTCCTCCGGCTGAATCCGACAAACTCTACATGAACATCGGCGACAGAGATGTTATTGAAGTTACGCATCCAAGTGCTCCCAAAGGAGATATTGCGTATGCGAGGTAAGCATTTAACTCTTTACCTTTGTATCTCTCTTTTTTTATTCATTACCATCATCTATTATTGTTATTGTTATTGTTATTGTTATTGTTGTTATTATTGTTATTGTTATTATTATTATTATTATTATTATTATTATTATTATTATTATTATTATTATTATTATTATTAGCATTACTATTATCTACGAGTAGATTAACTACGATTATTAAAAAAAGTTATCAATAGACTATTCATTATTGATTAAACATACGTTTCATTATTATTTTCTACCTCGTTATTATTCTCTATTCTCATAATAGATTAGGAAATTCAATCCAAGAGCGCGTGTATTCTATAAATTAGGTGTTTATTATTCTAATGTTATCACAATTTCCAAATACACTACGTATAAGATACAACTTCTGCTGGGTAAATGAGAAAGACAAGTCGATTAAAGCTAAGAGCCCAGACATATATGTCTATTGTCTATTGTCTGACATATATCGTAATATATGTGACTCACTGAGTGCAAGTACTGATAAGCGATATAACTTGCAGGAGTGACGGATTTCCGCAAATTCATCTGGCCCCTGTCGCTTCCGGTCGGCGAATCGCTCGCGACGACCAGCTGCGCCAAAAATTCGCTAGCCGCTTTGGTATCCTCGCTTTCGACGCCGAAATGGACGCGGTGGTAGACAGTATCCTGGGCAACTGTCGCGAGAGCTTCGCCGTGGTGCGGGGCATCGCCGATTATAAGGATGGCTCGCGGGGTAAGGAATGGCAGCCGCATGCCGCCCTCGCGGCTGCAAGCGTCGTCAAGGCCATGATTTGCGCAATGGATCCACCCTCGCCAGTCAAGAAATAATTTCAATGATAGATCGTCACCAGTACCATCATTATTACTGATTATTCCTATTATCATAAATATTCTTCTTCTGCTTCTTCTTCTTCTTCTTCTTCTTCTTCTTCTTCTTCTTCTTCTTCTTCTTCTTCTTTTTATTATTATCATTATTAATTATCATTATTAATTATCATTATTAATTATCATTATCGTCTTTGTTGTTCTTCTTCTTGTTGTCGTCGCCGTCGTCGCCGTCGTCGTTGTTGTTATTATTATTATTAATAATATTATCATTATTATTATTATTATTATTATGATTATTATTATTATCATCATTATTATTATTATTATCATCATTATTATTATTATTATTATTATTATTAATAAGGTGTCTTGGTCTGAATTTTGAAGGGCATTAGTCTGTGCTGATAAATGATTTTATTTGCAAATACAATGTACAGTGAGGAGTAATCTTTAAGATGCTTAATTTATAATTTTAGAATTATCAGTTTTCCACAAATTATCTTCTTAATTAATCAGGTATTACGAATATATATTTTTTGAGCGAGATGCTTCAACAGTTGGGAGAAAATGCTTCGGCAGGGAAAGAAAAGATATCACTACCGTTGTTACATACTTTTTTACCGTAAGATTTATAACGCACAACGAGAAGGAGGTTACCTTTTACTTTAATTGCACGTTGGCAACAGACGTTACAGTGAGATGCATAATTTGATATTATTCATAAGAATAAAAATTTCTCTTCAGGATTCAGATGAAACGATAACTGGACAGCTCTGCGCTTTTATAATTGTACCGTTCGCGAAACATTTCTCGTACGTTGTATTTCTTATACATGTATATATAATGTTTGTTATCTTCATTAATATATATATATATATACTGTGTGCATATATCTAAAACGCTTATCTAGATATATCTTATTCAGTTTTTAACCGATCGGAAAAAAGAAAGTAAAAAGTATTTAGAATTTTTTATACTTTTGTATTGCTTTTGTGATGTCATATGTACTGACTTTATAATAATCGAATTTATTATATTTATATTACTATAAATATAATTGGCATTCCAATTATTTATTGTACGAATCAATGTTATTATATGCGTGCATATCTGCGTATATGCTTGCTCTCTCGTGCATTATTGTATTAAATAGGAAAACGAATACGTCCTGCAGTATTTCAACTGGTGCCGAATACCACAGAGAGTCATTTATAGAATGTTTTAAGTATTATATTAGTGCTTATAGTGACTTATCCAGCATGGAAAAGAAAAATTAAGCGACCAACTATTGAAATTCACTATTACGTGCAATGCACAAAAATGCATCACCGGATAGTTAAGCGTAAGGGTAATGAAAGAAAATGAAAGATTTTTTAGCATTCGTCGATCCTCGCTTGTTATTCGTTATTTAACCGGATCGTAGAATGTGAGATAATGCGTAACGTTAATTGCCTACTTTATATTATAATTAATTTATTACTTCAGTCAGTAAGGATGCTAATCAAATTACGATAATCCGCTTATTCGCTAAAAACTAATCGTATAATATTTACCCTCATTTGTATAAATATAATAGAAAAACACGTTTTTGAACATTATTTATACAAAAAAATTATCTATTTTAAAATATATTAAGTACAATCATTTCAAATCGAATTATAAAAGAAATAAGATTAATTAGCTTTTTCTATTTAATTTATTTTTACAATTTTTTTTTTTCGTTCAATATTTTTAATGTAAATATATTGCTCGATTGAACTTTATGTCAATGTTCAGATCTAAATGAGTTTTAAAGCGCGACGATGTTTTCCTTCTTCAATCTCATGTATTTTATAATCGAAAAGACTCGATCGATCGAGCATCTGTAATTATAGACCAATTTTCAATAATTTTTAAGATTTAGAAAATACTTCAGAGGAATTTCTCATATATTAACATCAAATCTTGTCATTGTACTAATCTAGTCTCGTTATTATCTCTATTCCATTATTAAGCATTGTCGTTATAAAATATTTATTTTATAATTCCTATGTATTATTTAATTAAGAAATAATTGTCGATGTTTATTGAACGAATTTTTTTAGATATTTTGATAATAATGAAGTTCGTAGACAACACAACACAAGAAAGATTTAACTGATAAAATTGATAAATTTTAGCTTAACCGTTCGATAAATATTAAAAGTTTATAATGAGTATTGTAATAACTGAATTAATAAAATCAGTATGTGTTCTATAATTACACTTAATGATACATTGAATTTTATCAATTTTATAAAAAAAAACTTTATAAACATTGCAAAAACTTTTATATATATAGACAATATATAGGTGAAAAAAAAAAATTAATAACAATTTTTAAATACATGATTTCCGACTTTGATTTTAAAATATAATAAGTGCACGATGCGCATAAAATTACAATTAGTTCACTCTATATATGAATAAATTATAAAAGTACAATATTTACAATATTGTAAAATTAGATTTTGATTCGTGTTATTTTTGCCTACCAACATATGCGGTCCATTTACTCATAACGTACCTTAATAAAAACTAATAACTAAACTAGATAAATAAAACCAGGAGGCCTCCAACACCATCACAAGAGTTTAACTATAAGCGTAACGCGCTTAACAATTATTCTAAGCTATTTTGTAGAGTGAGAGAGAGAGAGAGAGAGAGAGAGAGAGAGCGAGAGCGAACAGTCAAAACAAACATATATAATATAATATATAACATAATATATTGCTGTTAAGTATTCAGAAAAATACATTTTATCTTATAGTATTTATTATAGGCAATTAAAATCCGTGTAAGCCACGACTTCGAAAGATAAAGATGTGTAAGGTGATAAATTTATTCTAAAATAAACATTTGCTAAAACTATAGTGTATATAACATTTGAAATTTATTTTTACATCCACCACTTCTCAACACAATAGCAATTTAATGCTTAATCATCTTCGTTTTTTGTCTCACAAAGTACATAATCGATGAACTGCAATTATATTTAATTCGCAGTTGAAATGTACAAATCATTAATAATTATTAGTAGATTTTCAAACTTACATTTATTTCCTTTGATTCCATTTTCGCCAAGAAATCAAATGCTTTTTTTATATATTTAATTACAAAACTGAATAAAGCTTTATCTTCGTTTCTTTCTTTTTCAATAGAATTCAAATATTTGGTAAATATTTTATTCTGCGCATCACAATTGTTTTGTAATGTTGAAATCTGTAGGATAATATTACGGAAGGCTTTCTCTAATTGATTGTTCTTTTCATTTTGACATGGAAGACTCTTCAAGTGTGATAAAAATTTTTTTGGACCACCGATCGGCAATAATATATTATTTAAACGACAGCGAAGATTTTCAACCTACAATTACAATAATAAAAATTAAAGTTATTTTAAGCTTCATTGTTTACGGTACGTACCTGTTCTATTTGTTTTTTTCGATGGATCTTTAATTTTTCATATTTGTCCATGAGCGTGTCGGAAAGTTTTAATAAAGTTTTAATTTCCTTTCTGTGCACTTTCAGTTGATCTATTAAAACCGAACACGAAGACGAATTTGTTTTGATAGTTTTAATAATTTTTTTTTTTTCATCTTTATTTGGTTTATGATATATCAATTCTTCCTCGTAATTTTTGTAATTTTGTAAAAAATAATCTGACTTGAAATTCATGATTTGGGTAAGGATTTTCATTTTTCAATAAGTGAATTTACGAGATTTTAAAATATACCTTGGAAATTTCCGTCTTTAATTTTCCTATAAGTTTATTAAGACGATAATTACACTCCTTGTGATTATTACATTCCATACTAATTTCTTTTAAATAATATACATAATGTTAACTTTTGGACTTGTTGATAATATAGAGAGATATAAACATGACAGTTGAATTAGAGAATTGACATTTTTTCTCATTTGTTCGCATAAAAGAAACAAAATATATTTTATTTTCAAACATCAATGTATTAATTGTAAATATAAGGATAACAATTGCGTTAATGTAATATTAATTGCATAAATTTAATAACATACTCATTTTAAATACAATTCGATTTCAATATTAAAAATTATAATATAATTTAAAATTTACATTCAAATTTAGAAAATCTTTTATAATCGACAAATTATAACCTACTTATAAGATTATGGTATTATAGAGTGACATGCGGACATTACAAGATATAATTTTCTATTAATACAAGCAATGTTATTTAACATTATTTGCCCCAAAGAAGATTAAAATATAAATGCTAGATTATAATTAAAAATACAACTATTTTTAAGCGATAAATAAATTCTTCATCAAACATCTAATACTTATTCATTTATTGGTATCGTATTTCATACTTGTAATTACAATCATAAATCTATATATATATATATATATATATATATATATATATATATTGTATGTATAGGGCAAAGCAAATCTTTTGAGACTTGCGGCGTCATATGCATTACAACATATTACGTTTTTATGTCAATTTCAGGTGGATTCGGAAACTCCCGCACTGGATTTTAATACTTTTGTATTAATAATTTTACTGTCTGAATGTGTATCTTTTTTACATTTGTCTTGCATTAATTCATCCTCCTTCGTATCGCTCTTATTCGCCAGAAATATGACCAATTCTTCACCATCCTTACAATCAGTTCCAGTATCCGTCGAACTCTTCTTTGTAATAAAATAATTATTCCAAGGCTGTTGCATCGAAGTACCCCATAGTAAGTGAATGATGCAGCTCAGACTCAGATTGGCTGCGGATATCAGGAATACGAGACGCCATTGCCCAATCGTTTGCTATGAGACAAAAAAATAAATAAATAAATAAATAAACGTTTTAACCGATTCACCGAATTAAACTCAGCAACATCATTAATTAATCAACTTGATGGTCTTTTTAATACGCACACGATCTTAAACGTGCACACGCATGTACATTGTAAAATTCAAAAGTAATATAATTCATCGCTTGTAGATAAGTGTAATCTGCTTTATTCACTAATTATATTTAGATGCAATATATAGCTTGATTTAACTGTTATTAATAACAATGAAAAATAGCTATTATCTCGAAGACGATTATAATATATATTTATCACGCCGTTTTTGTAACGCTATTTCTTACACACGCTCGTTTAAATTCGATTCTTCGAAAGAAAATTGCCGCAAGTAAGATATCGTTGCAAACGTTTTCTCAACAAAAAGAATATTTTAAAATAAAAATAAACGGCATGGTGAACGTGCAAAGTATAAATCATCCTTGTTAGAAACCGCAATAAAATCATTGGAAAATTTTCCTCGGCTTCCAATTGTCCTCCTCGAACGGCACGGTGACAATAACCCGCTGTGCTTCTACCGAAAGGGGCAATAAACTCCAGCCGAATTTCACCAATCTCGATACTTCGATACTTACTCGATCGAAGGACACAATCTCGTATCCTTTGAATCCCTCGCTTCCTTTGCTCCACCTTACGGAGAGGAACATTTGCGCTCTTAGGTATAGAAAGGCCTTGTCAACTCACCGACGCTTCGCTTCCCATCCATATACATCCCAACGCTAACCTTTCTTTTCATTTTACGCGCCGTTTGCATTAGGCATTTAATCTCTCGATTTAATCTTCACAAAATTTTTTTTTTTTTTTTTTTTTTTTTTTTTCAACTACTCGTCCTTCGTAAAGTAATAAGCGTACTTTGTAATGCAAGTCCTTTGGAGGGAAGCCGCGAGTCCAAGTCCAGCTTCCCTTCGAGCGAAGTGCACTCCCCGCCCCCCCCCCAATCACCGACCCAAGATCCAAAGAGCTACTACTTTAAATTAAACTAGCGAAGCTGCGAGCTTTAATTTTAAGCTACGACACGTTCACGTAGCTATCGTATAAGAAAGACATACGTTATTATTGGTGAGGATGCCAACGACGAGGGAGGAGAGAAAGCCCGCTGGAGTGGTGACTAAGTTGCAGATGCCGAAGAGGACGCTCGCGTAATTGGGACTCAGGTCGACGAAAGCGGGTATCGTCCCGGAGGAGACGGCCCCGTTTATAGCCGTGCCGGCGATCATGAAGAAGGCGGCGTGGGCAGGCTCGCAGCCGCTGAGGCTCAAGCCGATCGTCAATAGGCACTGGCCGCCCGCGCACACCAGGTTCGCCAGTTTCCGTACGCCACTGAGGCTCAGACGTCTTGTTCGAAGTAGCCAGTCGCTCAGCATTGAGAAGAGATAGGAGAAGGCCATACGAGCGATATGGGGTGAGCCCGAGAGCACGCCCGTCTATGGTTATCAATGGGTCTTATTATTATCGCGCCTTATCATGATTTGCTAAATAATGTAACACAATGTAAGGTACTCGCGTTTGAATTAATTTTGTCATCTGTCCAAGGATCGTTCATTAATGCCCGAAGCTGCATGATAAAACTAATTGGCATTACTTATAATGAACGTTATACGAACATCGCGTTACTTAATCATGGATAAAGATTCTTTAGAGAAATGGACATTAGAAAATGTATGATTTCCAGCATTTTATTAACCTAAAATGTCGACTGACTTTGATGATGACCGATTTTAATGGTAAACACGTTTTTCGACTTTTCAATATTATTCATACATATGCATAAAAGGATAAATGTACTCATTACACTTAATTATTATAATTCCCCTGAGCATAACAATGACCATTCAAGCTGTAACTTTTTCACATCAAATGCCTAAAATAATTAAGTAAACTTGGCTTTATTATTTAAATACTAATACTGCGAGTAATGATTTATTATATGCATTTTATTATGACAGTTTGCATTAGGTTCTTTCGAAATTTTCGTAAAATATTTGCGGAAAATGTGAAAACCAATTAATTAAATCTTCATTAATCTCCCATCGTCTCCTAAGCTATTCAAAGAGTAAATAATCTTATCATCCGTTACGAAAATTCTTGTAAAACTGTCATTGAAATTTGTATAAATCTTTCACACACAGTGTTTATATACAGAATTATCAATAATTTAATTTAAATGTTCATTAAGATTATTAGCTACAGTATTTAAAAAATTTTTACTTTCAAGCGCGCTAAAGTCAATTTACTTCTTTTTGAAGGTATTTCTCTAAACAAATATTTTAAAAATGATTAATAATAAGAAATTATGCTGTTATAATTTCGAGTCGATGTATTAATAAATCTTACAGACTACCAAAATATCAATGAAATCTCTAAAATAACATCTAACCGCATTGATGTTCCATCCCTGGACGTAATTGAAATAGGAAGGAGCCTGGGTCATCAGGGTAATGAAACCCCATACGCCACCCCAATGAGCCATAATCGTCACCCAGAATGGAATCGACGATAGAATTGCCTTCCACGGCACTTTTCTATTCCCCGTCACTGATATCTCGTCATTTTCCTCCGTTTTCTCCGCGAGGCTCCGCAGAATATAGTCCTTTTCCTCGATCGAGATGCGTGGGTGTAAACGAGGCGAATCGTACACCAGGCACAGCCAGAAGATGTACCTTTAGATAATTAATACCAATCAACTCGCAATAAGATTTTAATACTTGGCATATGATTGAGAGAGAGAAAAAAATTCAAAAGACATATTTATTAAATTTAATATCATTGTCATTTTTAACTAATTACAGTTTATAATATTTTTTTATTCATTATTAGATTCTTACAAGCACAAGGTTTATTTTAATTTCGAGCAAATTCATCAGTTTAAATTTACAATTACGTATTTTGTCACTTATTTGATATTAACACTTAATGATAAGTTCAATAATAGCGTAACTGTACTCTGATTTAAAAAAAAAAAAAAAAAAAAAAGAATGTTTTTGTAGGTAACAGCGATAATCGATTAGACAAAAAAGCCAATACATTTAAATCAAGAGTCTTTGTTCTTTAACTTAAAAGTAGCTGTGAATTAAGAAAAGTGTAGCTAGTTATTTTAAAAACTTAGTAACTAATAAATAGAAACATGTTACACGAGAGTGCAACAATATATTTAATCATTAAAATTAATGCGCAAGAAAAAAAGTTTCGTAAAATGAAAGTTCCTGCTTTTCCACTGTACGTAGTAGTACCCAGTGAAATTTAAGAATCATTTTATTTGCTTGATATAAGATCCATGATTATGATAACTGTTCGAATGATTTGCCTTCGAATTTCGACCAACCGATCTCAAATATTCCATTTAAAAATATCATTGCAATCATTAACGTTAACAATTTTATTAAGCAGTTTGTTGAAAAAAAAATTCAATGTCAAAAATACTCGAAATATTGCTCTTATCGATAAGTGACTAATACACGTGGAAGTAGCTCGAGGACCCTTCCAATCCAATGGCTCTCGATCGATCTTAATTTAGATCGCAAGACAAATCGATTCTTCGCACTTACCACACGACGCCAACGATTGACGTGACGTAGAAGACGGCCTCCCAGCCATAGCCGGCGATGATGGTGGCGCACAGGGGGTAAGTGATCGCCGCGCCCACGGAACTACCTACGGATACAAACTAATCTGATCGAACGATCGATGCGTATTGATCTCGCGAATGGTACGCCGAAAGTGCCGAAAGCGAGTCTCGCCTCTCACCTAAGTACGAGCTGACAAATCTGCTACGCTCGTTTGGCGGTATCCACTTGGCTGTCATGTCGTGCATCGATGGCCATACCACTCCCTGCACAAAAGTACTTGGCTTATAGGCACGCAATCGTAGTATTTATTTTTAATCATTATTAAATTAATTATTTACAAGAAATGCTGTAAAGCCGTGGAAAAGTAAATACCGTTCGTTTTACTTCACGAGCATAAAGTAGAGGTGTTTTCTAGAGAGAATAGTTGGCGAAAGTCGAAAATTTTAACATAGATTTTATATGCGCGCGCGCGCGCACACACACACACATACACATACACCGATGCATATATATATATATATATATATATATATATTAGATTAAATTGGACAATCTCTATGTAAACTTAAGAAAAAATCTCGCCTAACATTCATAATTAAATCATCAATAAAAATGTTGGAATGCGTACGTACTTTATTAAAATATGCTTTTTGATAAATTACATTTTATTGTATTTAGTATAAATATGTATATTATATATATGCGCGCACATCAATGATATAATTAGAAATTTGTTTTGCAAAGGATTTAGATCAAAGCATCTTTTTCAGCAAAATATTAAACATACTATATAGATTTGGAATTTTTGACTCATAAAGATTTTAGTAAATACTATATAAATGAAAATATTAAGATAATACATAATTAAATTAATTATTTCATATATTCAATTAGACGAGGTAGAAAAAGATCGTCAAACGAATGAAATTAATTTAATTTCACATAGGCGTTTCCAACTTAATAATTAAATGCTAGAAAGACAAGCCGAAAATCAGTTTCATAAATGCTGGCAATAAGTATGTTAAATTATATTAAATATATATATATATATATATATATTTATATATATTAAATAAATAAATACATAAAATAAATTATATGTCTATTAAACGTCCATTTAGTAGAAATATATCTATATATATATATATATATATATATATATATATATATAGATAGATAGATAGATAGATAGATAGATTTAGTATTATATACATTTAGTATATACAAATATATACAAAGGAAAATTATTCATCCATACGTCCATTAATAAATAGAATTGTTCTCCCGGACAAACTCACAGCTATTGAGCCCTGAAGAACCCTTAGAAAAATTAAAGCATTAAGACTGTAGCGGGTAGCAACGGGTATGAAGAAGCCAAGGAAGGCGACGAGAACGTTGCCCAAGCCGAAGATCAGCTTCGTGCCATATTTGCGAGCCAATAATCCGCCCGGGAGCTGCAATACCCAATGGAGCCAATAATAAGCGCCCAGCACCAATCCTTGTTGGTATTCGTTCCATGGATAACGATCGTCTAGACCTTTTTCGTCCATCTGCAAGAAATGAAATGAAAAACACGCGTGCTTCGGGAGATCGAATACATATAAATTTATGTGTATCTTATGGAATGATTAATAATGATCTTGATCTTAGCGCTAATTTAATTAAAGAAAATTCTCCCTAAAAGATGTATAATTATGGAAATCAAGCAAAAAAAAAAAAGAAAAAAAAAAAGAAAGTCCCAATAAATAAGTAAATGAAAGAACTGTTCATTAGCTTAGAGGATTTATTTGTTCGATCGCCAGCCAAATCGATTCTGGCCATCAACGAGAAATAATTAAAAATTCCAAATGATTATTATCTACATTAGTAGAGATTTATTTCGTAATAAATAATATTATCAGTAGTAAATAACAATAGTAAATTAATACGATAATAACTAAAAAAAATCCTTATTACGTAATATCAATAAGGAAAAAGAAGATGTTATTATTGGGATAACATTCGATATAATAGAAGATAATATGTTAATTACAGATTACTCAAAGAAAAAAAAAGTCCAGATTATTCGCCTAATTATGTATAAGTCAAATTCGTTGAAAAAACTTAATAATGAAGGAATTTCAAAATATTATAAAATGCTAACAAATCATTACCAAAATAGTTTTCAAAGTCTCAGCATTGGAAATATTGATTAAATCTTGATAATTGTGGTTGCTGATATTTTTAGATAAATGTTCCATCACACATTCAGAGTCAATGGCAGAAGTTTTAGGTGGTATAACCATGGCGACAATTGCGAGATTCAAGTTATTTCTCAGCATATAGTTTACACCGAAGCCCCAGAAAGCCAAGATCCATAACGTATTTCGACAAGAGATAAACTTTTTACCTGAAATATTTTTACCTGACAGTTTACAAAGCCTTAATTGAAGATATATTTTTGCATATGTATCAACTATAAAAATTTAATTTCTTCGATCCGTTTTATTGTTTAAATGTATGTTCATACGTAGAATTGAAACAATAACGATATTCCTTTGTTAAAAGTACGTATTTTGATAAATTACCTTCAAGTACAACATTATTTAAATAATTTATTAACGTCTATATATAACTAAAATTATACCCGTAGATTTTAGGTCTAGAAATTTATGAAAAAAACAAATTTGAAATAGTACACGTTTAAAAGATCTTTCCTTATTGAATACAAACTCATATATATATATATATATATATATATATTAATAGTTAGTTTTTTTTTATTTTTCTAAAAGAAAATTTCTGGAAAAATCATCGTTAATAGATAAACATTACTCTGAACGTATAGTTTTCCGTTTAAATCATCATTCGTATCAATGCTTATAAATGTAATCGTGAAACACTTTTTATTGATTTCAATCAATTGATAGATTATTTTATGATATATTAGTACGGATCGTTATTATTTAAATATGATATATTTTTCGATTAAATGTTTTCATATTTAAATTCATTAATTTTTGATTCAGTATATTTTTCTTAATGTACACAATAATTCGAGGAAGTCTTTGTTAAAATTTTTTCAGAATAATTAAAATGGAACGTTCAGCTAAAGTCAAGATTTCAGATATATTTCCTTATCGTTTGAAACATTTATAATTTTAATTTAAAAATTTAAAGAGTTTTTCAAATAACTTTTTATTTACACAGAGCTTTAAAGATAACTATTATATTATTGAATAATTTAATAAAAGCAATGACATAACATAATCAATTTAATGTAAATATTATTAATAAAATATATATATATATATATATTTATATATATATATATATATACATATTATTGTACTATATGTATTTGTATAATTGTTATACATAATGTATATATAGCGTGATACATTATGTTTAATATGTAGAATATTATTACAATAAAAAGAAATCCAATTATGAAATGAAACAATTGAAACAATTTCCTAAGTATATTTCTTATATATGTACTTCAATTGGTTCTTTTAATTCTGTTATTTTGTATTACTGATAGAAGGTGAATTATTAACTCTGTAATCTTTTAAATTGAATTTAGGTATCGTGAAATAATGTAGCATATAGAGAATTTATTTTTCTTAAAAATGTATTTTATAGATTTTTAAGGAATGCAATGAGTACATTATACTTTCAATTAAATGTCGTTAGGCACAGATAAAATGTTTTAATTATTCTATTTCGACGATTAAAACTTGTATCAAGATTTCAATTTGTAGTAATTATTGTGGCAGTATAATTATTAATAACACTATTGGCTATAATTTTGATTGACCTCTATTTTATCTTGAAAAAATTGTACGATACAATTTGTTACATGTGCAATCGAGCTTGTAAATTTCTTGCCATTTAGCCTACAAATTTACGGATTAGAATTTAATCGGATGAATTTTATAAAAAAATCTTTAGAAAAGTGAAATTTTTAATTATGTAAAATAAGGAATTTTATATTAATAAATTGAATTTTAAGAGAGAAAGTTTCTTTTGTTATGCTCTTCCGATCATACGCATCTCACTAAGTTTGATCATCTAATTGCATTCTAAGGCGTTGAAAATTAAATAAATGTTTTTATTTTTTTATTTTTTTATTTTTTTTTACCACTTAACTTGATAAATATTATAAATATTATAGCGGTTGATGTAACATTAATGTTATTTTTTAAAAGCAATTATAATTGAAGATGTAACGTAAATCGTGCATCATCGGATTAAACTAATTAGGAAATTCAATTTTTGTTTAGCTATCTGTTTATCTCTGTCCTTGTGTATAATAGCATGAGCATCTTGAGTGCTCAATTTTATTATAAATGTTGGGCGAAAATCATAGGTCATTATCGCGTTCTTACTCACTCGTCAATTTAAAATCGTCGTCCCTATACACGTCCATTAGTTTCGTGACCAAAAGAATTTACGAATATAATCCGTGTGGCTACGAATAGAAGCACGTAAAAGTTTGCGCTGTCCAAGGACAATTGTCGGTGCATCAATGATAACATTGTATGAATTGCCCAGGGGGAAAGCAATTATTGTAACTGCATTCAATTTATTTCAAGTGCTTAATTTGTAATGAGCGATACCCGCACAGTACTTTGTTAAGGTACGAAATGCTTTACAACATTATTAACGAACTATTACCACTTGGTAATTCATAGGGAAGACTAACGTTTATTCGCAAACACAATTTACAATTAATCTTCCAAACTTCAATAATCGATTCAACTTGTTTGTCCGTTAGGAGCTAATTTTTGTTAAAAATTGTAATTTTAAGCGTTTCATATTGCCTCTTAATCGTTATTAATTAACAACACTTTATTGCGCTGAAATTGTCAGATATTTCATACAAATGAAGAACTTATGAATCGTAATGAATAATTTTAACAAATTATAATTAAAATTGTTATCGATTATGCGAATTAATATATGACTTAATGATTTTCGTAATGTCGATAAATTTTAATAAATATATATATATTTATGCTTAAGTAGAATTTGACAAACTCGATAAGCAGCTGTCTCATATCTATTATTTAATTAAGCATGCTAATCACTTACCTTTTGTCATCTTAATGTCAATAAATATTCAAAAAATATTTCTTCGGAATCACTTCACTAAACGTACGCGATGATTTTTACTCCAATTCTTATCTCGCCCAAGTATGATTTACTTATCATCGATAATTGACATTCATGAAAAAAACAAAAAACAAAAAAAAAAAAAAAACAAAAAAAAAAATTACGAGCAGGTATAAACACGATCGATATTTCCTCGTCCTAAAATGTTAATTACATGTGTTCAAAGAAATTTTTATACAACTAATTGAGCCATAGTGCCTGACTGCAATAACACCATTGGCCTTACAACGCAATATGAAGCCTCGCGCACTAGATGAAAAGAAATTAAATATACATTAAATCACACGCGCATAATCCATTTGGCTCTAAAAATAATCCATCGCAAATGAAAATGTAATAAATATCAACTCGCGTATAGCCATGCAAAAAAGAAAGCAACGTGCCAGTGTTGTGTGTCGTCGTTCATAAAGTAATGGTACATAAAGTACTGAGAAGTTAGCGCAGTCCAGGAGCAGTGAGGAGGGAAGGTCTCGCTCTTGGCTACATGGATCTAGACGAGTATAAGAGATAAGAGGGATGGGGGCCGTTGACGAAAACAAAAAACAAAAAAACAAAAAAAAAAAAAAAAAGAAAGAAAGAATGAAAGAAAAAAGAATCGCGTGTATTCCGTCTGGACCGCAGCGGAAGTGCTCGACTATTACCGGCGACCTTACAGAGGAAAGCCGCGAGAGTTCGGAGTGCTCGAGAGCCCGAGCTCGATTGAGAGCTTATATCCGAAAGGAGTAGCCTTGACTGATAAGCTTCATCGCCGTCGCTATCCTCCTCCTCCCCCCCCCATCCCATTTCTATACAGGCCCTCCCACACTGCGCACCCCGTGAACGACGATGCGCTCGTACGGATCGCGGTCGTGAACCAGTGTAGTTCGAATTATGCTCGCGTGTCGACGAGTTGAATTTTTTCTTCGTAGCTTTTCCTATTATTTCGAAGCCCGAGTGTCCCATTGTGGCTCCGAGTCCCGCGATTACGAAATGAGGGTTGGGGAAGGGGCCAGAGTTTGAGGGCAGAGAGCTGATGTGCGTGGCCAACGCCACCGAGAGCCGATCGCGTATGTAAGATTGTTGATGCTCTTAGCGATTGACAGGCTTGATTATCATAAGTATTTTTGCTCGGGTACACAAGTTCCTAGCTGCTTGAAATAATGAAATAATTCTGCACGTGTGATGATTGTGAGATTTCAAGATTTATACTCTATCGTTAATAGACGTATTTCGGAAAGCTTTATCAAATAATGTTTAAATGCGCTTTCGCCTTCAACGCGAAGTAAAGTTGCCGCGAAGTAAGCTCTTTTATTTTTTTTTTATTTTTGAAGTTTTGTTGAAAATTTCGTTTGAAAATTATTTTCAAACACGAATGTTTTCATAGCACAAGTGTTTAAATACTTAAACGAAGACTTTCGACTAATAATAGGCTGCAAATTCAAATGTTTGTCTGAAATTTTTTCTCTCCTCAGAATTAATTTATAATCGTAAAAGAATGTCATTTACGACCAATAATATAACGTACGCGTAACTTGTATTCAAATCAATAATAAAGTAGAGTATTTATTCGAAATGGACAATAAACAAAAAATGTGTAAAAATATAAGTATCGATTGATAAAAAAAAAAGTGCCAAAGTCAATAGGAGGTGTAAGTATATTGTCGGTAGGGACAAAAAATATTTTTTTTATTAACACTGGTATTAACATTGTCATTTAATTTTGATTGTTATCAGATATAAATCTGAATTGTTTATCAGTATCATTTAACATTGAATTTTTGTTATCATAAGCTTATGACAGCTTATATATATATATTTATGATAATTAAGTGTATTTGAAATTACATTGTTAGAAATTACATTAAAAACGATATAATTTGTTAAAATTACTTCAGACGATATTTTGTACGAATTAAACTGCTTATATTATTAATAACAATTATCGGTGGGGATTAAAGAAACTTCCAAGACCGTGACTATCGTCATCGCTAGTCTCTCTAGCTCTCAAGTTTCTGTAAACACTTGGGACGAGAATTTTTCCTGCATTTGTTATGTTTTACTTTCAAATGGCCCGCAATGTTTTATACGTTTTTCGCACAATAACGTCACATGGAATTCTCCAAATTTCTTAAGCCTTGTTTTTTTTCTTAGAATTCTCGAATTTTCTAGACTTTTCTTTCTGTACCTTGTGTACAATTCCAGTACAGAAAACAACGATGCTTTGTCACCAGTTAAGTAAGCTGCCCCGTGGATAATATATAATGTAAGTACACGACGATTCTCTCTCTCTCTCTCTCTCTCTCTCTCTCTCTCTCTCTCTCTCTCTCTCTCTCTCTCACACACACACACACACATTGAAAATCTTTATCCGTGAAGCTCTGTCGCATTGAAAAAGTCGTGCAGTGAAGTCGTACAGAATGAAACACATCGTAAACATCTTTCAACAGAGCCACCACGAAACGACAAAGCCTTCGGTTTCGTGCGCGTAGTCAACAGGATTGTTGGCTTATTAGTTAAATTTGTCAATCAATCGGTTATCAGTTATCACTCTATACAGCAACCACATAACGCCGTATAACAGGCAGTCAGTTTTACTCATTATACATAGATAATTTAGCCAGACTAGGCAACAATAAGCTAGTAAGCCAAAACCTGCGAAGTCAATACATTTAACAACTGTTTTGAGTTCGCTGTAGTTAGAGAAGAAGAATAAGAAGCGTAACACCTGCGCGCTCATCACAGAACTCGGAAAGACAAATAAAAGAGTCAAATAAAAGACAAATAAAAGTCAATTAATAGAGAAACCATTTATCGAATGCACTTACGCGCATAGCCTCGTACGGCATTGAAGGTGCGAGTGCACCCGCCGAGATAGGCATTATACGATCGCGAAGTACCCGCGAACGGCTGAAGGTGTAATAGAAAAGCCCCAGCTACAAGAGCATTTTGTCACGGACATTACATGAAGAAGTACTAGAGATTTACGACCTCTTACTTTCAGTAAAACCATTTACCATTAAGCGCACTAGGATTTACAACCTCCTACCCCTGCATGTGGTGTATGCTAACGTCACGAGACAACTACCACCTAAGATCATGCAAGATCTCACAGATTCTCGACACCATCTTGGAATTATATTCATTGTACAGTCTGTAAATAAAGGGAAAAAAACAACAAGATACCCAACTGTGTTAATTATTGTATAAATAATTGATTTATTGAATAAATCCCTTCCACTTGGCCGCAATCCTCCCACCGAACACCTGAGGGTTTTTAGTCTAAATATTACCTAATTTACTAGTATTTGTTGTTATAAAAATAATTTCAATTTCATGTCAAATATCATATTTTATAATATTAAAAAATTCCTATTTATCATGTATTGTTAAATTCGATAAAAAAAAAGTGTTAATTGATTTTATTGCAAAGCATTTTATAGTATTTAACGTATGATCTACTCATCTCTTTCATATTAGAACTAGCGATTAATTAAAAAATTTTGAACTTCGTATTCAAATTGTTATTTAAATGCGAATGACAATATTAAAAACATTATTTTACATAGAAATTGAAATGTAACAAGTTATTTTAGCCATGCAAAAAAAAAAATTGCAAGGATTCTAATCGCCATCGATCTCGGCAAATTATGTTTTAACATGTAAAACAATTTACTTTTTTATATTATAGAAGATAGTAATATAATATTTATTTGCACAATGTATAGAGATTTTAGAAGGAGTTAATTTGAAATTTCATATATAAGTATTTCAATAAATAAAATCTACCTTTTTAGATGTATTATTTTAATTAATAAAATAATTTTAAAATAAAAAAAAAAATAATAAAATAAGTTTTTATTGATCTTATAAACTGTAAATTATAATGATCGATGACGATTCGATGGATAATTCAATACATTAAAGAAATATTAGTATTTAAAACTCATAATATTCATTCAATGTATTGTATTTATTTCACACAAACACAACCACACACTTCTAAATACACAGAGTAAGATCATTTTTATTTCAATATTAAAAAAGAAAATGATATAGGAGTATATATTTTCACAAAATTTTTATTAACAAAAATTCATTTAATGCAATAAACATATAAGAAAAAAAATATAAGGATTATTATAATATCATAATTGCTAATTGAATATCTTCTGTTATTGATAAAGCAAATAAAAATGTTGCAAAATATATAATCTTATTATTTCAAAAGTATATTAATTTCATCACTGTCATGTGGAAATGCTCTGTGACATTGTCAACAAATTTTTCTTAATAAAGTCTTCAATGGATTATAAAAATAATAATTGCCACGTTATCGTATCTTTTTACTTGATTTTATAATATGTTATCAAATTTATATAAGAAGATGGAATGTCGATAATCTTATATTGTATACCTCAAGTATCAGCATCTATTAATAATATTAATTTATAAAGAAAAAAAAAAAAAAAATTGAGATTAAAAAATTACAATATTTTTCATGAATTTAGTATGAATGATATTAAAAATAAAATATAAACATAATAATATCAATATAAAAATATCAGTTTGATTTGAATATGAGTAGTAATTATTAGGATTGCTGTCTATATAAAACTAAAATATTATATATTAACATGTACCAAAGGCAATTTTAACAAGTTAATAAAATGCTGAATATAGTATTTGAAGTAAATGTATATTGAAAAGGCTCCACACGCACGCACACACGCGCACACATACTTTATATAACTTTACATAACTTTGATAAAAAATGAAACAAATACATTATTTTTTAATTCGATGATTATTTGAAAAACAATATTTTTCTAACTTTCTTTTAATTCACTGAATTACATTGTGGTTACTTTATTTAATGGGGTATTTTGTAAATTATTATCAATATTATCATAAGAACTATGATTTTCATATTTAATATTAATTGTTGAATATTTTTTCAAACCAATAAAACAATCCATAATGAAATAAAACCAATTCATAATAAATTATAAGAAATAATTTTCTATAAAATGTCTTGGTTTTATTTAATCTATATTTTATTCATTGTTAATTACTATAAAATGATATTCGTATTTTAGTAAGTAATAAAATAATAATTACAATTGTGTTTATATATATATATATATATATATATACACATTATGTATAAAATATCGATAAAGCTAGGTTGATTTAAAATTTTTATTATCAAATACGTTATTTAAAAATGCTGTATATGTTTTTAAAATTTTTTGAATTACTCGAAAATGTAGATTTATCTATAAATTTATATATAAATGCGCAGGAAATAAAATTTGTAGAATTTAACATTTTCTTATTTAATAAAGCGATTTAAATAAATATTAAAATTTAAAAGTTCAATAACAAAACTAAAATTTTGATTGGTGTAAAAGTAATTAACATAATATATGTTATATTTTAATTAACGATAGAGTGTAAATAATTACTATTGTTGAATTTGATACTAAATCATAACTTTAGTTTTCATTAAATAATTTAATACAAATTGAAAGCGTCGTCTTATAAATAGAATAATTAAATAATTTTTTGGATAAATTGTTTTGAAATATATAATGATTTTAGAGGATTTTTGTAAATAAACATTTGATATTTTTGTCTTACTTTGCATTTGTCACAACACTTTACATTTAAATTACAATATTATTGACATACCTTTTTATTTAAATAATTCCTATAAAAATCGACATTGTTGATAAACATTAGTGATTAGTACATTGGTATTAGTGATTTCAAATTTTAATGAAATTGATAAAAACATTGCCAATTTGTGATCTCAAAATTAAGATTTTTTTTAAGGTAAAATTTATGTTATTGATAACGAATCAATTACGAATTTGCAAAGTAAATTTATATATATTTTCAATTTGTTAGTGTTGTGTAGATAAGGTTTTTTTTTTTTTTTAATTTATTCAATAAGTTATGTTTGCGAATAAATCGAATAAGACAGTTATGAAATAAATATAAATTATGTGTTATTGAAGTTTATGTATGAATAAACAAATATAATTTATTTTATATTCAAAAGGTTTTGTTGTATTACTAATTATTTTTAAAACTTATTATACTATGTAATTTTTTTTATTTAACAAAGAATTTAAATAAATATAAATACCATTTTATGTAAAATAAGTTAGACTTAAATTAATAATTTAATGAATTTTTGATAACTTGAACAAATTTAATAACAATAAGTAAAGTGTAAATGGTGTAAAGTCATTCGATACACTACAAATTGAGTTCTGTGATTGCAACGATCTACCAATTTACTATAAAATTATACTTAACACTTGTACAATTTTGTATTACGACGTATGAAAATTTGTCAAATTACCAATGATATCATTGAGAATCTATAGATCATGCAACTTGCACTTACTGTAAACAAGTCATCAAAATTTACACAAAGGATACAAAATATAAAGTAGATGTAATCAAAATAGATTGTCATTCAATGTGTATGTTTATATTTATATTTATATACAGTCAAACTAGCGAATACGTGCCGATCATTTGAATTTATATAGAATATTGCTAAAGTGATTTTTATAATTTATTCACTATAGCTTATTTATTACAAACAGCAATAATTTGGATATCATTTAATAAAATATAATAGATATTATTATAGTGTTAATGAATTATGAAGGATCTGAGGGAGTTTAAAAAAATTTGAAATAAAAATAAAAAGTCTTTTGGCCGTTCAATGTAATGTCACAAACATTATTAATGTTTCGTCGCAATCCTTTGTGTCTGCTTACGATAATTGTAACTTTTCCTAAATTTGAACCTTTTTCTCTACAGGAGTACCAATAAAAAATCATAAAAATAGGTGCTGGTACGACTGCGTTCGCATCTCATTTCCTCTGCTTCGTCGTTGGCTCCTTTGGTATGTTTAATATGAAATATTAATTTTTTAAATCCATAATTATCATACAAATATATATGCGATCTAAATAAAAAGTAAATTTAAAACGAAAGCTTATTTAATATTACACCGACTAGTTGAAATATCTTTGTTTATTTATATAATTTATGTTCTTTATCGTAAGGAACTTTGTTTTGAAAGGTTATGTTAACGAGTCTGTACGACTAGTGTTCACTACGGTGTCTCATGATTAATGTTTACAATTTTAATTTATTTGTAAATTCTGTTTCTGCATAGATTAAGCGATGGGTCGTGTAATTCGTGCCCAACGTAAGGGAGCTGGATCTGTTTTCCGTTCTCACACCAAAAGGAGGAAGGGAGCACCTAAACTACGCTCCCTTGATTACTCTGAAAGGCATGGATACATTAAAGGTGTTGTAAAAGTATGTTATAATTATTAATTATTTACTATTGCATATCATGAGTGTGGATTTATGTTTGGAAAATCATTATCATAGGCTTATTGTTTTGTTTAGAAATTCAGTCCGTAGCTTAAATTTTATTGAAATGCTAGTGGTAACGTTACAAGTAGTAGTTTAACGATTTGATCAAATAAGTTATTTTTTATTATATATTTAGTATCTATGATCATTTAAATGACTATGCATATTAGTACAGATTATGGATTACAGATATTAGACTACAGATAATATTAAGAGTATAATTTTAATATTTTGTTAAATTTTTTTTATTGAGGATTTTTTCATAGAATTACAATGGATTGTTAAAAGAAAATTATTTTATATATTATAAATATGTTATTAATCCATAGGAAATTATTCACGATCCTGGCAGGGGTGCCCCTTTGGCTGTAGTGCATTTCCGTGATCCATATAAGTTTAAGACACGTAAAGAATTATTTATTGCACCCGAAGGCATGTACACAGGACAGTTTTTGTACTGTGGAAAGAAAGGTAATATATAAATTAAATCTTCATTTAGTATTTTACATAACAAAATAATTATGAAATTGTTTTCAAAGTTCAAAATTTGTAAGAAACAATCTTTTGATGTCTTCTAATTTTATTATAGTGAAATTGTTTTCAAAATTCAAAATTTGTAAGAAACAATCTTTTGATTTCTTCTAATTTTATTATAGTGTAAAACTATAAGTGTCATTAAAATATTATTGAAATTCGTTTTTTCTTTTTTTCTTTTTTTTTATATATATATACTCATCCTGTATATTTTATAGCTAACCTTCACATTGGCAATGTCATGCCAGTTGGGCAAATGCCTGAGGGTACAATCGTTTGTAACCTTGAGGAAAAAACTGGCGATCGTGGTCGGTTAGCTAGAGCATCTGGACTCTATGCCACAGTTATCGCCCACAATCCCGATACAAAAAAGACCAGAGTGAAGCTTCCTTCGGGAGCTAAAAAAGTTATTCCATCCGCAAATAGAGGTATGGTTGGAATTGTGGCAGGTGGTGGACGTATCGATAAGCCTATTCTAAAAGCCGGACGTGCTTATCACAAATTCAAGGTCAAGAGAAATTGCTGGCCAAAGGTTAGTCATTTATTATTCGATAACTAATCATTTTTAATAATTAATTAATGATGTCTAAGACATTTGAAAACCGAATATCTTTTGGGGAAAAAACATTTATACTGAAATCATTAATTGTATGTGGTATTTAACCCAAAGTGCAGACGTAAATACTTAAGAAATATTTGTATTTTTAGGTTCGTGGTGTTGCTATGAATCCCGTTGAGCATCCACACGGTGGTGGTAACCATCAACACATTGGTAAAGCTTCTACGGTTAAGCGTGGCACTAGCGCTGGTCGTAAGATTGGTCTTATTGCTGCCAGAAGAACCGGTAGAATTAGAGGAGGCAAGACAGACGCCAAGAAAGAAGATTAGACTATTCGCTAATTAATTTTCAACATCTATTATAATAAAAACATTGAAAAAAATACTCGAAAGAATACGTGTTATTCATTTTAAAATATCACTAGGGATCGCAACAAATGATTTCCAATACAGTAATAGAAATATTTGCATTATATTCACATCGATGACTATGTAAATATAATTGTAATCTCGAACATATCCGCATTGAAATTTTCCTCATTATTACGCAATACTAAACATCGATAATACTGAAAGTATTAAACGAATTTTTTAATTGCTTTTTTTTATTTCTATATACGGATACACATTATCGCCCATCGACATTAAAATAATGAATCGTAACCAAGAGTAATGGATCGACGAATAAAATGTGCATGTAAAATGCGCATATTAATATGTTAATTATTTTATTTCAATGATAATTAATTACTTGCATAGTAAAGAACTATTAAAAAATCATTTGAAGATTTATTATAACATTGACCCTTGTCAACTCGGTTTTGCTTTTTTTTCTTATTAGCTAACAATTCATTACGAATAAATGCTATAAATATTCATCCTTTCAATCCTTCTTAAGACTTGATACACACCCTTCTGCCCTCGCTTTATCATTAATTTTATCAAATCTCTCTGTGGCTATTGTTAAAAATATATATATATTTTTTATAGTTTTCAAATGCGCAATGCAAACAATTTAACCTGGCGATGTATGATCTAAAATTTCATAAATAAAAATTTGGGCCCTATACGATCCGACATTAACAATGGATCTCGAATTTTAGAATGAGACCCATTTGGGAGGGAAAATGGCATATGGAGTCGCTCCTCATTATCCCATGGAAACTGGTCTTAATATTAAATGCTCGTCCAAGCCTTATACGCGTTTCTTATCCACCTTCCATCATCCCATTTAAAAAGCTCTTTCGCTCCTCTCCCCCCCCCCTTTCCAACCCGCCGATTACCACAAATTATTATTAATAAATCATAATTTATCCTCCCTCGCGAGAGAGTCTGCATTCTCCTGTATTTCCTATGAAATGCTTTTATCGCGCGTCGTACGAGCATGTATCCTTTCTGCAATCGACATCAATAACATCCCGATGCATGGATCAAGGCTCGGCCAAAGAGACGCGGGACACCCGGACGAGCGGTCCATCTACCTTGCGATTAAAGCGAACCGTCCCTTGCGCGTCCCACGTCTCATCCTTAGCATTGGCAATGTGTGGCCCGAGGATACTGGAACCCTCGCTCCGAACGCCCCCTGGGATTTGAATTTTAAATACGGCCCAGGTTAATAGGGACGGGAGGACACGGATAGCCGACGTCGGTCCCCTTTTGTACCAAGGATCTGCGTATAGATTATGAATGTATTGCGGTTGATGGTGAGGGGTGGGGTGGGAGAGACGGTTGTTCGCCGCTGTTCTTCTTAAAGAAGGTAATGTCGATTCCACCGCCACCGTCGCCGCCACCGTCGCCGCCACCGTCGCCGTCGCCACAGCCGTCGCTGGGCGTCGCTAAATTGTGAAGGAAGCCTAAATAGCTTGACAGTAGAACGCTCGGAATCGAACCATTCCCGCGGTTCCATTAGGCATCTCTTGCGCATTCCAAGCAACGCGGCCTGACAGTGGCACTTGGCACTGGCAGTAGTAGAACTGTAGAAGTGAGCCCGCGAGGCGTAGTAGGCAGGGAAAGTGTGCGTGGTATTGAGGAAAAGTCCCGTTAGCTGTGTGTATTGGAGCGAAGTAAGGTACGAGACGTCGATTTAGTTAACGCGATTTACTACAAAATCCGTCCTCACGGCTTATTTTGCCAATTAAGCCCGCAACCCCCGTGACCTCTTTCCATCACCGTCTTTTTCGAGATTCGGTGATAAAACGACCCTGGCGGCAACCTTTGCCTTCTAGTCTGCGCGCTCTTAGCGTGCACGCGCGCACCTCCTTGAGCGATTGAACGCGAGCGAGAAAGAGACTCAAGTGCAAGTAATCAAGCAAGCAAAGCAAGCAAGCAAGAGAGAGAGAGAGAGAGAGAGAGAGTGAGAGAGCGAGTGAGTGAGTGAGTGAGTGAGTGAGCGAGCGAGCGAGCGAGCGAGCGAGCGAGTGAGTTAGAGAGCGTGAGAGCGCGTGAGAGAGAGGGAGAGGGAGCAAGCCCAACGCCATCGATTTCGCGTTTGTCAGAGATATTCAGCGTTGGCCCGGGACCACGTGATAAGCGGGATCGAGTCACGGGATTTCTCTCCGATATTCGCGCCCTCGAACTGTCCGCGACTTTTTACTCTCGCGATCCACCTACGTACGCCAACGAATAAAAAAAGTTTAGTAGTGCAATCGTAAAACGGAAGTTGCAGGTCAGCCATTTTACTGTTTGCTACGCGACGCACGCGCGCGCCTTAGCTTTAGTATATGCGATGCCTCGCTTATATGCTTTAGTCAGCCATTTTTCTCACTCCTCTCCTTGCCCCAACATCCGACACACACTTACGCCGCCCATTTCTATGCGCGTGTATTCGTACCTTCTTACGCGCGCATGTATATGCACGCATATGCGTACGTGTAACCTTGTGTCGTGCATCCCTGTTACTTTCTCTCCCCGTCTTCATTGCCATTCCCTTCAACCCCTTACTTTTGACTTTTTACGTTTACTCATTTTGCTTGGCTTCGTTATTTACGGTTTTGTAGTTCCGCAACGTTGAACGCGAGCGCATACGCAGCTTCGAGTAGCAGATGGACTTGCCCCTTTAACGCTAAATCGGATAGACTCTGATGGAAAAGAGTAGGGTCATCGCGCTCATTGGATCGAGAGGATGATCTCCTAGTTATAAATAATTATAAATGGTTTTTAATGTCATCTCGGTACAAGCATTTAGTATGTTTCACAAAAGTCAACGTTCGATTTTTCATTTGATTACTACCGCTGTGATTTTCTGTTTATAATTTTGTTTACTTGTGGTTTTAAAATCCAAGATTCTCTTCCTCCAAATTATTGTGTGGTGCAATTTATGTGCAATTTATGTACATTATATATTTGGTGTTACACGGATTTTTGGAAGCCAATAAGGTACAAGTTATATTAAAACACATGAATATTCATTGCATCTTGTAAGTCTTTGTTCTGAAAAACTGTCGAGTTTTAAGGAATATCCTACGTATTCCATTGCTGTAATATTAATCCTACAACCGTCGCAATGGATTTCATTGCTTTATTCTGTGCATTACAATCTTTACATGCTTTAACATAATACAGGATAAAACAAAGTTTCATTACCTCTAGTGAAATATTGCTGTCCATATCCAATTGTATTCAAAGAAAATGACTACTTAAATGATTATAGAACAAAAATTGAAACAAAACAAAGAATAATAGGAAGAAAATAATCTCTCCATAAAGAACTCTTAAGAAAGCAAATTTAATGCAAGTAAATAATATATTGATGCGAATAAAGCAGAGGAAACTTTAACAATTAGCATTTATATCAAGCTTTAAGCGGTATTTTTTGTTTCTATAAGTACTACTCTATCGCTATTGTAATAAATTTGCATTCCTTCGATGCCTACTCAATGATACATATGTGCATGGATTTTCTTTCGTCGTCGATTACATATTCCCTCAAGATTTGTCGATATTTCATTATTGCTCCGTGGGCAGTCTAATTATTTTAATGACTTGCGCCATCGTGACAATAATTTCAGCGAGTCTGTATTACCATAATCGATTGTAGGATTTGCTCTATTGTAATTGAACTTTTTATTTGCTTTCCAAAAGCTAATAAACGAATGTAGCAAAGATGTATGGAAATTAAAGTTTACAATTAAAGTTTGTCAGAGCAAATAATAAATAACCGTACCAAGTCCACTTCGTCCAAGGCACATCCAAGTGATTTGACATGCGTTTACCTCAATTTTTGCATCGATAAGCTTTGTGAGAAGCAAGCCAGCAAAAATCCTGCAAAGACATTGAGGAATTTCGTGGCATATCGCCGTATTAATTAGATTTAAAAAAATGATTCGGTTATTATTGCATTGTCGTCGTGCTCCGTAAGCGCAACTTTAGCGCTCGACAAACAAAATCGAAGTAAAATAAATAGTCGTAACGAGCTTCGCTAGTTATTCGCTAGTACATGTGTCGTACGTAATAAGAGTCGGTTGCCACAAGTCGGTAAAAATAGTCGAAACGGGCGGAGGGAAAGCCGTGTGCGATTGGTGTACGTGAGAAAAAAGCTCGGTAGGATTTTCGCCACGGAGGCCAACTTTCAGAAATCCAACGTCGCGTTCCATATAGTAGTCGGCTGGCTGTCCAACAAGTCGACCGTGCATTCGTTCGCCAATGTGGCGCGAGCCCGTACTCTAGCGTAAGAGAGTCGAGCATTAGAAAAAGAGGGGCGATACGCTTCCTTTGTATGCCAAAGAGAGGCTCTCCGAGAGACAACGACGAGGAGTCGCGAGCGAGCACGAAAACATACGCGCGCACGCACGCACGCACACGCACACACACACACACACACATATTCGCGGAAGCGTGACCTTTCGAATTGGAATTTCCCTCCCCCTCCGCGCGACGACGGCTAACACACACAGGCAAAAGCGCACACCCGTGTGCACGCGCAACACACTTACGAAAAATCCGTCGATCATTCCCTTCTCTCATGTTACTTTTTTCTTTTTTTTCGCTTGCAGTGCGCACCGAGATAACGACGTCGTAATACAGCATTTTGGCTAGCAGCTCCCGCTTTATTGTCCTCGACGGCCGTTACCCTGTTTTTGGACATAACGAAGCCATCGACGAAAGTGAGAGGAACCTCAGACGAATACCCTATAAAGCACGTATTTCTTGTGGTGCTGTGTGCTAGTGCGGGCGGCAACGAACAAAAAAGTGCAAAGAGAAACCGATAGATAGATAGATAGATAGATAGATAGATATAGATAGATAGATAGATAGATATATATATATATATATATATATATATATATATATATATAGAGTGTGCGTGTGTGAGTGAGTGAGAAGAAAGACGAAGGGGAAAGGAAGAAGAAGACGGGCGGATATTTTATCAAGAGTTGAAGACGAGTTCCTACGACAGTGATACGAAATCTACGCACCGAGGCGGAGTAATATGAGTAATGCAGCCAACCAGAATGGATCAGGTCTAGAGCAGCAAGTAAGTAACTATTGCGAATGGCGTGTGCGCTTCGTTTACTGTTTTTTCGCATCTTAATTCTCACACGTGTTATGTGTTTTTGCATTTGTAATGGGCATTCGCGTATCTCGATATTGCTTGCCGATATTTTCCGCCCAGACGGTTATAGCGTAGCACCTGCCGTCCGAATTTCATTTTGGAAACGCCGCCGTGTCGCGGGCATTTCATATTATCCTTCCAAGCCTGGCAGCCAGCGCTTATGGAATATTCGAGTTAATTCGCCTTGACGCGTAGGCCAAGATACTTGGACATGTTTCATCGCTCCAAGCACGTTTTCGTTCATCGTTCGGTCGATTTAAGTCGAGCAAGTTTTCATTGACCAAGCAAGGTCTTCCCTTGCTTCAATCCCTTCGCTGCTCTTCCTTATTTAAAATCTACGATTTAACGATTTATTTATAGACTTATTTATAGGCGCACAAATATTAGCATCCTGTCTTCTTTTGCCATTTTCGTTGACACACTTCGGATGCTTTTCATTTTGCCTACCGCCGATAAGTAAAGTTAGGCTGCATTGTTGAGACGCGCGCATACATGCATTTTATCCGTTGTGTTGGTGATTGGTTGCATATGTACATGCCAGTCGCATTGTCACAAGCCCGAGCTTTTAAATATGTTTGTACGGAATGGATTATTGTCGAGCGTATGCAGTGCCATACGTCATTCGGGCAGTTTCCAAGATTTCGATCGAGGCTTGGGTCGACTTGTGTTTATTGTATGTGTTGGTGCGCCTCACCGATGATTCACACGTGAACTTCATCACGACTGTTCCGTAATGGCCGTCCCGTATCGAATTCGTCCTTATTTCCCATCCCGAGAACATCCAAATCCATAAGGATGTCTTATTTTGAAATTGAACTTACAACCAGCGACTCTTTTAATTTTCTATTCTTAAGCGGGATAATGATCATCGTTTCCTTCTTCTTTTTTTTTTTTCCCCCTTTTTTTTTTTATTTAACCTCGATAATACCGCTCGCTTGGTAGCCGTTGCGTATTATAATATACGACGTTTGCAAATAGATAAAAGGGTAGGCCACGTGGGAGATAACAATGTAAGATTTTTATTTGATTCATGAACGTGGAGCGGGGATGGATGTCAATGAGTCAGGCGAACACTAATTTAAATGTGCACAACTTACGGGGACTCGGGACAGCATTATCGTACATGATTATTGCCAATCACTCGTGTCGCTAACCGTTTTCATAATTATATCTATTTTACAAGTCCACAGTCCTTTTGAGACTTAACGCGAATTTGAGGGGAAAGATTTTTTTTTTTTTTATATATATATATATATATATATATATATTTTTTCTTCTTATTTTCTTATTTTCTTTTTTCCTTTAATTTATATAAACATTAACCTACCCGCTACTGGCTAAGATTGCCAAGCGGCGCGAAAATGGCGGCGTCCGATGTCGTGTTGCTTTATAAAATTCAATTTCATAATCTTATGACAAAGACGATCTACCCAAACTTTGATTGAATCGACTGAGGTAAATGTGTTTTATTCGGTTATCACGCTTACTACTTACTATCTCTTGTTATTATACTCTTCTAGTTAAGCGTTATCGAGGAAAAATATATATTAATTCAATTTAATGTAAGTAACAATGACATTCTATATCATTATTGAAATACTTAATGTTATTTTAAATTGCTAGTTATTTTATTACTGAAGCAACGTTCGTTTGTAGTATTTTTTGTGAATTGAAGCACTTGCCTCGGTCACCATTGATTATTTATTTATTTAGAAAGTAATTGTGAAAATTTCCCAATTTTATTGCACTTGCGGTTTAAAAAGCATTTTACATCAAATTGTGTAGTTTAATTTAAGTTTACTTAAATTTTAAGTTCTAATCGTTATTAATTGGAAGAGAATCCAAAATATCTGTCGTTTGGTTTTCTACAATAAGCAAAAATAAGAAAATCAGTAAATTTTATGTTGCTTCTAAACGTGCGTTCTAGTTTATTAATAAGAAATCATTTTCATTAAAGCGATCTCTTGTATTTTAAATATACTTATACTCCTCTTACTTGTTTATAGATAGCTGGTCTGGACTTGCAGGACTCCCGCCAACCGAGTGGGGGTCGCTACATTCCACCACACCTACGAAACAAACCTGCAAGTGTGTATTAAAATATTTTAAATCGATTTTATTATTTATAAATGGCTGAAGCGTTATACAACTATAAAAATATACTCGTTTTAATAATCAAATCATAGTTAAAAACTTATATTAATATTATTACGAGTGTCAAATATTTAATAAAAAATAGCCAAACTGTCGAGGGTTTATCAACGTTTTAGTTTAAGTTTTAGTATTACATTTTATACATAATTTTGCTATGATATTATTTTATATAATTTGGACATTTCCTGCTATTGTTCAGAATATAAATTAGAATGAAACTCGCTCAGGTGCATTTATTTGATACGAAAACTGCGTCTAACGAAAATTGATTAAAAAACCAATTTTGTCGATAATTTTAAGAATGTTTATAAATTGAATAGACAATTGATGCATTTATAGAAATTAGATTTTGTTTGAATTTTGAAAATGCTTTTTCCTTAATTTAAAAGAGTGTAAAGTGTTTGTAATTACATCTCATTAATTATAGATTTTGACGGTTAAACCATACGACTAGAATACATTCAACTAGAATTGTAGTAGAAATATTTTAGAAACCATACTGTATATATATAATATATATAAAATTTTATAAAATTTAAAAAAAAAAAGTTTTTATATTAACAATTGTATATTAATTTTAAAATATCTTCCATCAGTGCTGAATTAATAATAGATTCTAATAAGGAATTAATTAATTTTATAAGTGTGTACAATTATACATAGTTAAATATATTATGAGATAGGAGATAATTGGTAGATGAAATTACACACCTATCATTGTTCATGTTAAAATGTGTAATAAACATGAATTTGTAAGTATCAATGTTAATCGAATACATGATACTTATACATTATATTCTAAATAATTATCCGATAGATGTGCAATACAATAGAATATTTTAATATTTAGAATTGTGTTAGAATTTACAGACACTATACAACAATGATTGTGTTGAAATTATTCATCGAAAGTTGAGATCGAAAGTTGAAGAAGTGCCTGCATTTTGACTCGATAGTCTGCTGCACATTTTGAATGTTTCAGCAATATTTACAATGATTTATAATGAAATTGTATTACAATTGTTAAAAGGAGATTTGATAAAAACAAAGTAATCGCATCTTACCTCGATGCTGATCAAAATTAAAAAAAAAGCTCTACTAAGAATATGTATATCTGAGAATCATTAGAAAAACCCATTACTAATAATAACGATGTTAGATTCGTTTTCAGACTGCCCTCCAGGTAACGATCGTATTCCTTCATCGCACTCCCGCTTCTCGGACCGAGACCGAGACCGAGACCGCGGCCGTGGCCTAGGCGGAGGTGGCTCCAGCTACTCTGGGATCGACTCTCGTGGGCGCAACGACGCGGATTTCGGTAATTTCGGAGGTCGCAATCGACGCCAGGAGAATGGTCGGGACTACCGTTATGAACGCGATGGCGGACAGGGTGGCGGGAGCGACAGATGGTCAGATCAGCTGCGTAGCAACGATCGTTGGCAAGAGCAGCCCAGAAATGATCGAATGTCCAGCTCTGGTAATCACTAATTTTTATTAATAACAAAATAAGAAGAAATGTAATTAGGCGATATCAAGTTCTTGACAAGCGACACTGTCGAGCTTTTACGTCTATTGCTTTTGATTGACCAAGCACAGGTCTTTTCTTATAAATCACTATTTATTTATAAAAGTCGGATTGTTGTTGCTCCGCTTGTTTGGGTTGAATTATTAAACAAATATATGAATTTACGATCTTGCCACGAAGATTATTTATTTCAGTGATTCGCCAACTGGTCTCTTTTATTCTTGTTTTTTTTTTTTACACGCAAACTAATATAGTTATTTCAATCTAATTTAATAATTCTTTATTAAATAAGCAATCGTTTGTTCATTTGTCGAATAATAAGATTTGTGTTTGTTACTTTGTAAATGTGTTATTGCAATTGTAAGGACGATTTCATAGAAATACTCATGAAATGAAAACGCTCAACCTCATTCGGTAGCAATCAAGAGATATTCAATTTGTATTATTCGTTTGGTGAACCCCTGGCGACCTAATTAATTAATAAGCTCGCTTTGACTTGACTATCGTAACTGCATAAGATAATACAGCCAGACCTCGTCTGAATGGAGGAAAACGCAATCTTCTTATGGAATGTTATGCTCTCGAATATCAATGCCAAGCCTCCATCAGATATTTATGGTTTTAAATTATAACAATAGGTGGTGGGAGATGGAAAGACGACGATAGAAGGGGTGGCAAGTCCGATATCGACTGGACCATGCCGACTGCGAGGGACGAGAGGGCCGAGGTAGAATTGTTCGGTGCAAGAAGCACGGGAATCAATTTTAATAAATATGAGGATATTCCAGTGGATGCATCTGGCGATAATATACCGCAGCACATCACAACCGTAAGTAATTGTATCTTTCTGTAATTAAAAAGCGCTTATGAATGCTCGAGAGAGGAATTATTGTTATCATTATAATTATACCGGGAGAGCATGAGTTTATTAAATGTGCAGTTGATTTGAATCAGTGTATCAACGAAACATTTTGTTGTTGTGTTACTTTTTTTATTTTTTTAATTGTTTATTTAAATTTACGTTTTTATTTAAAGGTCGATTTAGTTATAATTTAAAATGTATTAATTGGCATTACATTTTTAATGATTCGTTTGAACGAGAAGCGATATAATTGACCATATGTCATATAAGTATAAATTCAGAGTTGAAATTTAAGTGCTTTGAATTAATTATGACTGTGGAATAATAAGAACGTTTTTTGATTTGAGAAATGAGTTACAATTATAACCGTGTTCTCAGTGTACAAACGTAACAATTATTTCTAGTACACATTTTTTTACAAAAAATAATTTCAATTGTCAATGAGCGCTTGACTGACTACCAATATATTCAAGATGCGAAGTAATCATAGTCATACCTTGCTTCATTTTAAAAATTGTGCTTCTTATTATCAGTTCGACGATGTTAAGCTGACGGAGATCATCAAGAATAGTATAAACTTGGCCGGCTACAATCAACCGACGCCTGTCCAGAAATACGCAATACCAATTATTATTGCCCGGCGTGACTTGATGGCTTGTGCCCAGACGGGCTCTGGTAAAACGGCCGCCTTTCTCGTGCCGATTCTCAATCAGATCTACGAGAGTGGACCGCTGCCAATGCCGCCCAGTTGCGGCGGGCGGCGTAAGCAATATCCCCTGGGTCTGGTGCTGGCGCCCACCCGCGAGCTCGCTACGCAAATTTACGAAGAGGCGCGCAAGTTCGCCTACAGATCAAGAATGCGCCCGGCCGTCGTCTACGGGGGCTCCAGTATTACCGAGCAGATGCGCGACCTTGATCGCGGATGCCATCTCCTGGTGGCCACACCCGGGCGACTTAGTGACATGCTGGAAAGAGGCAAGATCGGCCTGCAAAATTGCCGGTACGTTGTTGATGATATTGCATTCTGTACGATTTATTAATATCTGTACGATTTTCATAATAGTCGTTTTAGGAAATTAATGAGATGGACGATAAAGAGAGCTTTAATCTTGTTAGTTTTGTTTTATTTTTCGTTCGTCAATTTTGTTGAAAAAATTAATCGAATGCATCTTTCATGCCGAATATTAATCGGCCATTAGCTATTATTATTGAATTAAAAATTACGATAATAATACCAAGTGACAATCTGTAATAATATATTATAAAATAGATATTGATGTGTAATCACATTATACTGATGTGTATTATTTTATTGCAGTTACTTAGTACTTGATGAGGCTGATAGAATGCTCGATATGGGTTTTGAACCACAAATTCGAAAAATTGTTCAAGAAAATAATATGCCTAGAACTGGTGAAAGACAAACTCTTATGTTTTCTGCTACTTTTCCCGAACAGATTCAAGTACTGGCAAGAGATTTCTTGAGTAATTATATTTTCTTGACTGTCGGTAGAGTTGGCTCAACATCAGAGAACATTACTCAGAAAATTGTCTGGGTGGATGATCCAGATAAACGATCATATCTTCTCGATTTGCTTGAAGCGACTGACTTACAAAATCCCAGTAAGCCTTTCAATTTATATACATAATAAACTTAACATATTTTATTTTTATTTTTTTCCCCTTAAAAAGAACTTTTCCCCTTAAAAGAGATTAAAATCTTCATTCGAAGGTTGCCATCAAAGTAAAAATAGATAAACTTGAAAGTTAATTTATTGTATTTTGTAATGTAAAAATAATATATATTAATGTTAATAATTATACCTTTAATTCTTATACAAAATGTATAAAATGAAAATTTATAATTCACAATCTAATGCAATAATGTAAATATTTTTAAATATATATTTTGTAAAGAATTGTAGTCAATGTAACATCTATGTATATATATATATATATATTAAGTTTCAAATATTTCTGTATGTGTGGGTGTGTGTGTGTGTATGCGTGCGTGCGTGTGTGCGTGTGTGCGTGCGTGCGTGCGTGCGTGCGTGCGTGTGCGTGTCTGTTGATAAATAACAAAATGCTATGTTTAGAAGCAGGCGCGGGATCACTGACATTGGTATTCGTGGAGACAAAGAAAGGAGCTGATATGCTAGAACAATTCCTTTATAATTTGAATTTCCCCGTCACAAGTATTCACGGTGACAGATCTCAGGCAGAGCGTGAGGAGGCATTACAGAATTTCCGTGAAGGGAATACACCAATTCTGGTGGCCACTGCTGTTGCCGGTCGTGGTTTGGATATTCCTCATATAAAACATGTCATCAATTTTGATCTTCCAGGCGATGTCGAAGAATATGTTCATCGTATTGGTCGTACTGGACGTATGGGAAATCTTGGTAAGAGCTCCATTAAATTATAATCGCTTGTTAACAAACTAATGAAGGTATCATTACTTCTTTCGTTAAGTTTATTGAGCTTTTAGCGAAAATTTAGAATACTTTTAAACAGAATGTTCCAGGCATTTAGAATAGTTTAAATCGCCCTTTGTGAAATTTTCTTTTTATCATCGGTATTAAACTATAATTAATTATTCATTTTTTCTTAAAATTATCGGTTATATTTTTTCAAATGTATTAAAGTACATTAAATAATTAATACTTCTTTTATTTCAAATACATTGTAAGATAAGTCCTCTTAGGATATTATGAGGCATAATTTGGAGAAATATACATTGTATTATAATTATAATTAAGAGTTTTTTTCTCTACAATTTAGTAAAATTCAGATTTTTATTTATAATTGTCTAATTTCTATTATTTCTACAGACGCTCATTATAACAGAGATAATTAGCACAAGATCTAGCAATTTTGTAGCAAAATATTTTCACTTTGTGATTACAGGTACTGCAACATCTTTCTTCAATTACAAAAACCAAAATTTAGTGCGTGAGCTAGTATCATTACTTGTCGAAGCAAACCAAGAATTACCACAATGGCTAGAGTCTATGTATGTAGAGGGAAGACACGGTGGTGGAAGTAGAAGACCACCTGCTAAGAGTAGCAGCCGCTTCGGCGCTAAAGATTATCGTCAGTCGAGTGGCGGTGGACCGCCTGGGCGCAGTAATGGTCCGTCTTCTAGACCTGGTTATGGAGGTAAGACATTATTATGGTCATGTACAATTTTTCACCGAATATTGAATTAGTAAAGATCTCAGTAATTTTAGTATTATTAATTCGAGTAAGTAATTATTTAATTTGTGCCAATAGTGCAGAGTGCATTGGATCTGTTATTGTTGTGACTCGTAAATACAGACTTTCCATTAAATAATAGAAAATAATAAACAATTTTTACAAAAAATTTAGTATATTACTTCCTATGTATATATAAAGTTAATCTACTATTTTGTAGTAGTGAAATTGTAATGCTAATGTTGAGCCGATATGCGAGACACGTATTTAATTCATTTTCATCCTTAATGATATATTGTAATTGTTACTTTTAGGTAGTTACGGAGGTGGAGGTGGCGGCTATGGTGGCAACCACAACAACTCTTCGTATAATTCCAGTAACAATAGCAGTAACAACGGTAGTGTTGACTGGTGGCAGTAATTACGTGGCAAATAGAGGCATCAGTAAAAAAAAAAAAAAAACAAACGCACCGTCGTCATCAAGCTACTATTATTACTACTACTACTTTACATACAAATTCAACTATATGTAAGAAAGTCACGCGAGGCAAACACATAAAACGACATAAATACAAAACAATTAAATGGACATGCGCGATCGCGCTTAACTGATTTAAAAGAGAAATTAGAAATCGTATATTGAAGCGGTTTAACACATATATTATATGAATACACTCTTAAATGCAAATACTTTTAAAGGTAAAAAATGAATCACGCGCGCGCAAGACAGTATGTAAACATTACGAGACATTTTCAAGTAGTATATTACTGTCAAGACTGCTAGTACATATTACTACTTTATTTGTGGCAGTTGAATAAAATATCACAATCGCAATTACACTCACAACTCGATAAAAGATGATAAAATGATAAAAAATGTTGCAAAACCGAGATGGAATTAATAAGGCGATTGTTTTTTTTTTTTCGCGAAGACGAGAGTCTGACTGTCGTCAAAAAGTCTCGTTGCGCTGACTGGTGCACGTGTTAGTAGAATCAATAATCAAATAAAACATAACCGAGCGTCACTACTCAATGTTCTGGTATAAAGTGAAAGAGGAAAAAAACAAATTTGAGTTAAGCGACGGAAAGTGAAACTGCGTTTATTTAGCAGAATTTTTTTTTGAATTGTCGAATACTCGTGTCGAAATAATAATTGCGACAAGTGCGACTCGCTGTGACTTTTTTTCTAAGTAAAACGAAAATTTTTCGCTCAATATCGAGCACTTATATGTTTTAAAGAAACAAAAATATGATTCTTTTTCGAATTTATATTCAAAATCGACGAATGGTACTTTTGTCCTTTGCCGTCCCTAAAAATATTAAAATGGCAAGAGAAGAACAAATATAACAAAGATACAAGTACACAAGTAACATGACTAATTTGTCGAAATCTTTCGAAGTCGATAACAAAATACACGCGACAAATAGAAGAAAACAATGTAATAAGAATTGCAACGCGCCTTCTACAAGAGGACGATGAGTCGAATATAAATCCTAGACTTAGGGAGATAAAGAAGTAGCTTTCCTTTGCTTCTTCTTTGCTCTCTCTCTTCTACTAGTATTATTTAATTTTCCTCTTCGTAAATAACTAGCTAGCGGCCGACGTATTGGTTTATTTATCCATATGTCAAGCTCGATATATATTCATTTTTTACGCGAGACGCAAGGGTTAGATCTCAAATACGCAAAGTATACGTGAGAAAAAGAAAATAAATACAAAGATTAAAAGATGACAAACCGAAAATGATATCGATAAATAGTTGTGTATTTTGCGGTTTTTCTCTTATACATAATATACACGTGTGAAATCGTCGTTTGCAGTTGGATAAAATGTTCCACATCAAGCGTTCTAAGAGAAGAGCGCGTTGTTTCATGCAGCAAGTAAAAACAATATAATAAAAAACGAAAGGTTGCAGTTACAGGAGCAGCTTATATATGGGGAAAGTAAACTGAAAAAAGGGGAGAGTAAAAGAATGAGAATGAGTCCTGCGAGAGAATCCAGTGAACGAGTGTGAATGTTCGAATTATGCGCGATCGATGAACTTTTTTTTTTGCGGCTCGTCGCAAGCGAAAATACGAAGAGAATCCCGTGTGAAACTGTCAAGCATTCGCATTGCAATTTTTGTAACTGTATTTAAAAGAGAAAAAAAAACGGTATGACATAAACTATATATATATTATAAATAACGTTAAAGATAATAATCATAAAGTTAACGTACCGTAAAAGTAATTAAAGAACAACAAAATAATTAACAAAAGAAAATAAAAGACGACTGTGATATTGAACGATCTTGTGACATTCGATTTACGCGTTTCGTTTACTTTTTTTTTTTTTTTTTTTTTTTTTTTTTTTTTTTTTCCTTTCGTTTCTAAAGAAGACACCATAAAATGATAAGTTTAATACAGAAGAACATGCTCTAAAAAGGAGTAAAGAACTGTGAAACGGCTAGCCGAGATAGTATCGAATGTCTTTATTATTCGCGATCCACGAGCAGATAAATATAACAAATTTGAGTCGTTTTCTATTTAAAAACGAAGTTGAGAAAATTTGCGCGGAAAAGCGGGGTGTTAAAATAAATTGTACAATTAAATAAATAACTGTGCTGTTCGATGTCTCATTAGGGAGGGCCGAACGTTTATTACACAAGGCGACGTTTAAAGGGGATGGGAATTCGATTTTGTTTTATTATTATTATTTTTCATTTTTAAATATTAACAAAATAGATATTTAATTTTTTTACAAAATTGAGTGAAATAAACAATTTCAGTTTATAATAATAGTATTGCACCTGGCTTGCTGAAATAATATAATACTTGTTGCTTTAATATCTATCGGTCATTGTAAAGATATAAAAATAATAAAAAACATAATTAAAAAAAAAAAATAAAAAAAAAATGATAATAATAATACTTAATTATAACGAAAAGAATATATATACTCGGACATATATTCGTTCCAATCTCAATCGGTACGTAATCTCATTATACACTGTCAAACAATACTAGCAAGACAAATATACACAAATGAAACAATACAACACTGTTGAAATAATAAATAAAAAGAAGCAAGCTTATCGCTTAACCAAATAAATTATAGTATACGTGTATTTGTATTACAACGCGCGTTATTTATTTTATATTATACAGAGTGGCTCGTAAAAAAAATTACGTGAAACAATGCCGAGTTTTTTTTTTTTTTTTTTTTTTTTTTTTATAATTAGAAAGTACAGATAGACATGGAATTCGCCCGCTAGCCCACATATCTAATCGAGGCGTAGGAGACACGGATGTTGTGATCGTGCTCTTTTAAATTAGCTCCATAAGGCGTCTAATCTTCGAGAGAGGCGTTAGTACACCAGAAATACGCGTATTTAACCATCGGACCTCTCGACCTTTACACATATATGAGCAGCTCTTAATATCGTTTATAGTGTCGTTTGAGTATTCGGAGTTTGTAGTAACACTGTATTTTCCTACGGCCGTGACGTAATCTTCAACTTTATCGATCAATCCAAAATACTTGTAAGCACTCAATGCTAGATAAACTTTGTTTCTTTTGTTTTCTTTGAGCAGCACTGATCTGCCCATTTTATAAATCCAGTCCTAACAAAGCAGCTTATCTATCTCAGTCGCGCCGACGCAGATATCGCATGAATTTATAAACCGCTCAATACTGTTGTATAATAATTCTATCCCACAACGAGACAGCCATAGTCGAATAATCCGTATGATAAATTAAAATAATAAATGGGCTGAATGGTCAAGTGTATCAGACTCGAGGCTAGCATTGGAAAATATTTACTTGGAGAAGGGGGGGGGGGGAGTACCGTCGCATCAGGACTCGCTACTGCAACCAAATTGTGGCAACTTGTATCTTTGAATAAGTCATAAGTTAACCGAATAAAATTTGTTAGTGTTTAAGTGCGAGTGTTACGATGGCGTGTCCATTAACTAAGCAAGTTTCAGTGGTTCGGAGTAGAGTTATGTCCAATCAGTCCCTTGTGCGTACATCGCAATCGTCATTTCAGCATCAAAGATAATTCATTCATCCTAATTGCCATTCAATCTTAAATCAACAAGTGTTTTTCTCGTTACAAGTGCGTAGTCTCATTCCTTGAAAATGCACAAAATTCTAACGTTTCCTCGATACTCAAATTATGGGATATTATTTATTGCGTTGATTTAACCACACTTCTTGAGCATATTCTGAATAAGCTCGATACACATTGATCATCAAATTGGTAAATAATATCCTTTTTAAGGGCAGAAAGACCGTTTTTTAATATTGGAATTAGTAGTTATGGTATCATCATCGTTTGGCAATTTCTTTATGTCTGAAGTAAAATTTCTACCGGACGTGTCAAGTCTAGGCAAAACCATTCTTTTAAAGATCGATAGTACGAAGAAAAAGTGTAGAATGATTTAGCGAGAGGTCGGCTGAAGATGAATATATTATAGCGCTTTAAGGGTATGCATAAGCTTCGTCTTCGTATAAAATGTTTGTATTATTTATCTTTGGCGTCTCTTGGGCAATTCATTGGAGGAAATTCGTTGCTTCGGTTCTTCGTAAACATCATTTGTCTTTAAGAAAATAGCAAATAATTTCTTATTTAAGCCATGTTTATGATTTTACAGTTGAAAAGCGGCTCTAATAAGCAAATTATCGTTAAAAATGCGCCTCTACTCGATCAGCAGCCCATATTTTATTCTATTTTAAATTTCATAATATTAATGAATATGCGCAGCAATTTATTGTTTGTCACTGTTTCGTTTATCGCATCAGGCATTATCGTTCTTGAAGAAAACAATTATCTATTTCCGAAGCTTCGGGAGGTATTGTCGAGTTAAGATACATACATTTATTCATAAACAACAATGGCTTTATCATTGTATTGTAATAATATTTTTCATTTTTACTTAATTGTAATATGTAATATTTGTCCTCAGTAGTTCTGTTATACCCTGATTTTGTCGATTCGGATAAAATTTAATGGTCCTTTCAACTTTTACCGTTTTGTACATGGAGGTTTCTCTCACAATATTTCGAAACATTTTTCTCGCTTTTTTCCATTTTTTAGCGCGTGTTCGAACATTATTTTACTTGGCGGTTTAGATTTTAAAGAGAAAATTATTGATGAACGAGCATAAGATATATATCGTTGGAGTCATAGTGTTATAATTTTTCAGATTATCAAATACTGACATAAGGAATTTTGTATTGCTTGTAATTGACGTAATATTTTAATGTAACTGATATTACTAATATCGTTTAGTTAATAATCAAAATTTTCTTCAAAATAAAAGCAAAGCATCTACAATCTTGCAGCGAAAGCGGAAGTTTATCTAATTATACACAATACATCAAGTGCTCAAACATTCTATCATTACTTAAAAATGACAGATAGCGCAACTTATTTCACGTTCGCGTTGTGATCGAAGCAAAATATAACAATCTGTATTGAAATAAATCTCAATTATAGATCATAACTATATTTGAGCAGTAAAAAATTTTGGTAGCAATATGAGTGGAGAAAATTTAACAAATTAGCCCAATTCACTTAAAATTCATATCGAGAATGCGATTTCTCAAATTTCTCAGTCGAACATATTTCTTCTTTTTTATTTCCCCCTCCCAAATTGTTTAATAAATATCAATTTAATGAATATAAAAACTATTGTTTAAATTAAAGAAACAAAATGTGGAAAAAGAAATAATAAAGGGGGAAGTATGAGGAGTACGAGATCATTAATTAAAATGCAATAGTACTCGTACTGTTTTACGTAATTCATGCGACGAAATTAATTAAAATGGATTTATTCTGAATCCGTTTAAATTGAAGACGTTTTGAATGGTAAATTATATAAATCAATCAATTTTAATCGGGCATTTTTAGCAAAGTAATTTATCTGTAGTTCAATGTAAATATGTGTAAAAAAACAACAACAACCAAACATTTTATTTAATTAAATTTTGCAATCTGATACTTTGCGTACCATGAAGATAAATTGACTGTCTATACATCGAAGAATTATCGATAACGAGAAATTCATGTAAATCGATAAAATTTAATTCTCAATCCTTAAGGCATAATTGAATTGTGAGACGGATTTATTTTCTATTAATAATAATAACGATAAAACAAAAAAAGAACAAAAATAATAAAAAAAAAAACAAAAAATAAAACAAAAAAAAACAACAATTTCAATATAAATAATTTATCACTGTAAGATCGGTAAAATTGTAAATAATACGCATCTGTCTTCGCAAATTCGCAAGAAATTTTGCTACCTAAGGTCGGTGGTTGCAACCGCTATATTATACACATGTTATTTGTCAAGTAATATACTTGTGTGCGCTCGAGTGTATCTTAATACTTCCAGTTCTGTGCAAGTTTTGTCGGAGCAAAAAAAAAAAAAAAAAAAAAAGTAAACAACATAAGAATTCTTCAATTTTGTCATCACGAGGATGAACACAAGAGTACAAAAAGTCGTTGATTGCTCATATAGAGATAAATGATCAGAAAAATAAAATATCAAGAGAGACGATGAAAATAAATTCAACGGTTGTGGACCAAGTTGGTGCGTGCGATAAAATAATTGTCAAAGCCCTCATCAACGAGGAACAACAAAGATTCAATCTATTCCCGATTAAAAAATTATTTTTTTTTTTTTTTTTTTTTTTTTTTTTTTTTGTGACGTAATAAGGTGAGGAAAGTTTCTTTATTCATTGCGATTGTCGGATTTTAAATAGAATGATTAATGTATTGTTTTATTAAAAAAAAAAAAAAAAAAAATTTTGGAAAATTTTAAGTTATATACTTCAAAGTATTTGTATGTCGATGGAAAAATATGATTTAATAAATTTATTTAGATCCTATGGAATAAACGTTAATAATTCAGTATGTTTACCAAATGCTCAAAAGTTCTTAAAAATAATTTTAAATCATTAACGCTTATTGTATTTCAGATTGCAAATTTCTTTATCAAGTTGGCAATCGTAATGCGCTCTTTGCTAAACACAGAAGATTATTATTATCTCATCTAAGAATTTGGAGATGTGGTTTTGTAATAAAA